CTCAGTCTGTATGATACATAAATATATCCATATTATTGTATATATTAATATATGGAATGATATTGTGTGATATCAAAAAACTACTTACTTTTAAAAATAATTTTAAAAATCGGATTTTTTGACAAAACACTAACAATTACCGAGAAATTTATAAGTAAAAGTTAAATTATCCACTTTGAAAGTCACAAGTTACTCATTTTATACTTCAACGACATTTTATCAAGTTGACAAGAATTCATTTTCCATATCATATACTGGTTTACCAAGAAATATAGATTACAAATTTATGGAGTAATCACACGGTGATGCTTAATTTATAAAAAGATAGACCGATGAATTTATTGAAAAGAATCAAAAATACAATGACGAAAATGGAGCACACAATAGAATTCAATAGTAAGACTAGAAAATGATAATTTTTAATTTAAATCTGTAAACTATTGCGACTAACTTGTATGAACAAATAGTATGTATTTAATGTAATTTAACACACTGAAGATGACCACATGTCGAATGGTCGAAACGTATGTGTGGATACAATATTATTAATAAATGGAAAAGAAGCAATTGCCACCCAGCTCGGTTCGTATTAGCTTTTATTTTATAGTATTATCGAGAAATTTATGACAAACCTAAACCTAAACGCACTCCACCTTATTAATAGTTTTGATGTGCGATGTATTAATAGTTATACGACGCAATCGATTAACATTTATTATTTGTCCACAATATTTGCACTTAAAGTCACCGAATGGTGTACAATGATCCCATGCACTTTGCTATATAATTTTATCAGTTTTTTTGTGCATTTCTAAATATCTGATGAATTTTCCAATATTATTATACGTGTATTCTCTTAAACAATATTTACACTTAGCATTTTTTATCATTCAGGGTTTTTTCGGGTTTAGGTATCATTATTACTTCCGCCATTTTCCATTGCTTTACGGATTTTTTTATGAATCTATTCACGTCTGTTTCTTATTTCCGACTATGAAAACAATTTTGTGCAATACTTGCGCTGAAACTGGTTTCGCATATTACATTCGTATTTTAAATATCGCGTTAGATTGTCCTTGCGCGAGTATATTTTTTTTCGCATATCGTGTATATGTGTTTGTTACCTGTAAAAAAATTTAAATTAAAAATTATAAATTTCGACGAAAAATTGAATTGTAGTAGTTGGACAAGCGCTTTCTCAGGTAATTGTTTAAGCGCGCGCAGCTGTCCCGTGATAAAGTCGTATCTGAGGGCTTTTCTGGCACTTAAATTGTTATTTATCTCCTTCCTAAGCTCTTTGAGTAAGCCGTCTTTCTGTCTTCATTAGCCGTTTAGGGAAGGATTGAAAAGTTTCCGTCAAATGATCCGCAAACAATTCCACTTTTTCTTTATCGTTCCGAGCCCAGGTTCCATTGTCTTTTCGAATGGGCGGGAAATATATTTTAGGTCTTCTGAGTTCTTGCTTAAGCGAATAGTCTGTATTTTTGTCAGCGGATAATCTTTGTAGATACATACCGTCCGATTCTTTACTTCTTTGATTAGTTCTTTGAGCTTGTTGCTCAGTCGGGGTTCAATTTCTTTTTATCCTGTGACGAGCGACTTCGCTGCTATTTTTTACGAATTTTGCACTTTTCATTCTTTGAGGTCTTCGGCCTTCTATTTTTCCACACTGAAAAAAGGATTTAGTAATAGATACTAGGATTTAATAACAATTACTAAATGATTTGGGTAAATAGTGCTAAGTAAATGCTTGGTAACAATTACAAAAAGAATTAATTGAGTGATTGATACGACTTGGTTAATATTGGCAAAGTTTGATGATTATTAACAAGTAATGATAAATATATATATAATCAAAGATTTTGATAAGTATAAACAGATTATTTTTTAATAATTATCGAAGTGTTTAGTAAATATTATCAAACTATGTGTGATAATTATAACGAAACGATTTGTAAATATAAACGAATTGTTCAGTAATAATTACCAAATTATTTGACATTTATCATAAAATCATGTGATAACTATAACTAAATGATTTAGTAAGTATTAACAAATTTTTTAGTAATAGTTATTGAATTATATATTAGATATCACCATATTATTTGAATATAAAATATTCAAATTTAGTAATATTATGCGTATATATGTACGCGCGTATGTTTGTGATATCAATTGATTTGTAGATTAGATGCACAGATTATAGAAAGTCACTTTGAGAAAAAAATAATAAGCTATACATATCTTTTAGTATATCAATAAAATCTTTAAGTCCCCAAAGCGAGAGAAGAGTTTCTAATTCACTCATATTTTTTACTTATGAATTTCAATAGTTCAATAGTTAATTGAAGCCGCTTTACGTCTTCACGCCGGCAGAATGACCGAATTTTATGACGCACTTTTGCGTTCACAATCAGATCGCTACGAGAGATCGATACGCAGAGCATGTACGAACTGGTGATACCGATTCCGGTAGCATACAGTAGCATGTTGAAGAAATTTTGAACGCGTTTCGATACGCTTGTATGTGGCACGGAAGCCACATACAAGCGTATCGAAACAAATGTGTTCAAAATAAATGCGACTCAACATGATGTTGCGCATAAAGCACAGGAACATGATAAACTGATAGATTTCGTAAAGAATAATCTCTGATTTAGTAATACTTACCAAATAATGTAGTAACTGTCAGCAAATCAATCAGATAATGCTTTCAAGACAATTTAGTATTTAATTATCAAATTGTTTGCTGCTTATCATCTTTTCGATAATAAATACTATGTAATTTAGTTAGCTCGACTAAACGCAAAATTTGTTCTTTTAAAATATTTGTAATTATTATCAAATATTGTGTTATTATTATTATAATTAATAATAACAACCAAATAATTTTAAAACATGCATTACTAAATGCATCTCACAAGTTTACCTAGAATTTTTTTTTAGTGTATAAATGAATCTACATTCAACATTACATTACACATTTACATGTCTTCTTTTCTTAATTGGCTCCAGAAGGGCAGGGCTCTCACCATACGACCATATGTTTCAACAGGTTTAAGTGAATACCTTATGCGATGTTTTAAACGGCACTCCTGACGCGTAACTTTGTCATTCGCACAAACTAAAACTAACTTTCTATTTGCTCCAAATTTTTTCTTCTAATTCTTTGTTTTTCTATATGCTTTTCATTCTATTAGATTGGTGCAAAAATAATTGCAGTTTTTGTTGTTTTAAACTTTGATGTTTATTTTAGAATAAACTTTTATTTAATTATGTTCATGTGATATACCATTTTTGAATGTTTAGAATGAGAAAAATGAACTTGTCAGGAGTATAATGCTTTTAATATTAGTAGTCTTGTCTTATCGAGTCCCTAAATCGTTCTGCTGTGACTTCGTCAGTTTCTTCTCTCAGCGCGTTCTCTCTCGAGGTTGACGTATCCTGCCATGTGGCCCAATCAGCTGTTTGAACGCTTTCGAGCCTTACCTGACATACGAAATAAAACAAGACACGGCTCGGACCTCACGTATAATGCTTTCGCGTAAAATAATTTATATTTAAAAAAATAATTGTTACAAGCATTGAAGTTTTTATTCATCTTTAAAGCAAATTTTTAATAAAAGTTATGTAATTAATAATAACATTTTTGAACTTCTAAAAATATTTGAAATAATAATCAAAATTAAATTAAAAATTTAACATTATTATGGAGGAAGCAAAGCGGCAAAGTCGTCCATGCATCCGGTCGCAACCGCGGCGCTTTCCTTGACTTGGACCTCATCAGGGCGTCCTTGCGACCTCAGTCCTTTGTCCTTAGATAACTACAAAAATTTATGATCTGTGATAATTAAGAGTTTTTGTTGCATGGTTAAAAATTATCATTGGAAGTTGTAGGTAACGCAAGCCTGATCGGATCATCGGCGAAAAATTTACGGCAATAGATCAATCCTGCAATTCCGACAACGCGATTGAACAAAGAGAGAGAGAAAGAGAAAAAAAAGGAAGGGAGGGATGGATGTTGTGCGAGATTTGGAAATAATTCAGTCTCGCGCACACACTGACTGGCGGGCCAAGGGGCCGCTTGCTTCGGTCGCTTCTCCTTCCGGCCCCCGCGTGCCTTAATCTAATCCAAGGATAATCTAAAATTCATGACACACATAACTGCCAGGCGATGATATATCTGGCGGGGGTGTAAAGGCAGCGTCTTCTCCGTTCCACCGCCATGCCCTCTTACCATCCTCCCCTCACTATCCTCGGTTCGCCTCGGCGGGCACCTAGCAGCAATCACTGACATTATTATTTAATGCGACGCGCGTGGCGGCGTATACGCCGACCAACTAGCCGTAAATCGCAATATAGAGACCAGCTACTGGATGCTGTTTATCTCGCGAGAGAAGAATTACTAACTCGATCGCCGCCAGTCGATCTTGCTTCTCCAACATCCGGAGATACATCAAATTACACAGGCGTCAGTTTTAGATCATCAGATTATTTCTGATATTCAGTTTAACGTGCATATTTTTTAGATACGATTATATTTATATTTAAAGATTTTTGCATGGACTAACGACATAAGTTGTAAAATCAGTGTAAAACTATATTACAAATTATGGAGTTCTTGTACGTGATTTTTTAAATACTATATTTATTTATATTTATCCTCACCTGGTGATGGCCGAGTTATTTGGGACCCAAGCGCCGAACGTTTGCAGCGATTAATAGACTAATGTTTCTGCAGTCAATATACACGTAGTATTGCGCAAGATTTCGAAAAGAAAAGACGTGTCTTAATCCAAAAGTGTTATATAATTTCTACAATGGGAATAAAAAATCGGAATGGGTCATAAAGGATTCGATCACCGCCGTCCAAAGATTAATATATTTTATTTAAAATTTAATTCCTCAATTTTATAAGTTTATCGTGTTACTCTTTGCATTACCGCAAAGACGTGTGAAATAGATCCTAATCATTTTTTACAATTACATGTCGTTTTCAGATTTGACTAAAAGCTCAATCTTGAACATAGTATATCCACTTAAGAACTTCACTGTACCTACGAAATGAATCGCTTCGCGCACGATTATTCGTGTACTTCTCCCGATACCTCGTTCGAGCCTGAGATGGAAGCCGATAATCCGGAAATGCAGTCCTTTACCAGATAGGGTGAGATGCACGCAAATAGACCGAGAGTAGTCACGCGTCGGCGATAAGAGAGAGAGAGTGTGTGTGTGCAACGATAAAGAAAGAGGGGAGCGGGTGCGAGCGAAAAAGTGGAAGAAACGAGGAGCTAAACGCGAGTTTCCGCCCCTCTGGGCAGATCCGATACGGAATCAATTCGCGTAATAGTTTCGTGGGGTGGAAGGGAAAGAAAGAGAGAGAGAAAGAGGTGGTCCGGATGGTTAAATCGACTGGCGGTCGCAGGGGTGGGTTAACTGAAGCGAGAGCTCGGATACGGGCCATTACCACACCTGTCCCTCAACTTCGACTTCGCAGGAGGCGAGCCCAGCAAGCTCTAATGAAGAGAAGCAATCACTTAAACCGATCCGTTACATACCCGGTGTGCCCTGGGGCGATACAGTTTTATTTGCGCGGCGCCGATACGCTTTTACGGTTCACTCGGGGGAGTGCTCGTCGGCGACGAGATGCGAGCGAACGGGACAACAGAGCGTGTCCCGTGTTTGCCGACCCGAATCGCTCCTCCGGGACAGCCTGGATCATTTGTAATGCGAGATCGTTAACTGTTCGATGATTCGCGAATCGGAAAGAATGTTGGAATGTTGAGACTCTTTCGTTCTCTCTCCGAGATATCGAATTTGAAGGAACTGTGATAACAAAGACGCACCAGTGAATGAAATCCGTTAAAAGAGACAATTGTAAAATTAGTTTATAACTGTAATATGTGAAGGAATTGGGTTCGACAGTTTTATTTTGTGTCAAATTAATAGTCGACTCATTATTTGAAATTATTATATATACGAATATCAATATAACTCGTTACTTACCGTTCACATCTGAAAAATTATATCACTTTTATTACAGGTGAATTCTAAATCAAAGCAAATGTAACGATACGTATTTTTATCACGTAACTCAAAAAGAAATGTTATGTATTTTGAATGAGAGATGCGAAAAATTAACTACGAAATAAGATAGAAAAAAAAAACAGATAAATAATGAAAGTATTACGGATCTTCATACAAAATTATCACCAAAAAAAATGTAACTAACATCAAAGTGAATTTAGGATAAACTTCATCGCTAAAGAAGACTCGCAACGCTACTCGGTATTCGTCAAAATTTATTTTCGAATGAAATGTAGTCACGTAGCGCACAGAGAACCAAGACAACGAACGCAGTATGGAGAGTTAAGAATGTGAGCTGGTATAATTTCAATGTCTTCAATCTTGGATGCTATAGATACGAACAAGTTAAATACCAGCCACTCTAAAAATAAAATTTTGATATAATTTTCCTATGATATTGTTTTGGGTGTAACGAATAATTTTAGATTGCCTCTTTATACAGAAAACATATAACTTTCACTATAACACTATTTTACTTTGCTATTATATATTTATATTACTACAATTTATAATATTTATAATATTTCTAATAAATTACAATCGTAAATTAGCTAGATTTTACATTAAGTATTTTTTTTTTTTTTTTTCAAAAAACTGTATTATATCACTGTTACACCCACAGAGATCAATTTCACGCATCTGTAGCATGGATATCCGAAGCCAACGAAATTATACCAGTTTCAATCCTGGATATGGACCGTCTGATTGTACGCGTGCAGTACAGTATGTACAATGTAGCGCTACAGCATACGATTCGGACAGTTAATTAACGGAAGAAGCTTGGCGGCAGGAAGCAATAAAATGTTCCCGTAAACACATTGCAACAACATGCATTGATCTTAATCCTACGATTTCAATCCTTAAGGATTAAAAGAATTCGAATCCCTTATCTGCTGTCCGAATAGATGGATCCACAATACTCAAATCGATACTTGTACGCACTTATACGTGACGCTTTATAATGTGTAAAGCCGTCCGACTCGATTACAATAACGAATTCGCGTTCGGAGAGAAAACGATTCATAATTAGACGGAAAATTGCCGAAGCTATAAAATACAATATCAAGTGTGTATCATTCACCCTTAGATGATGGATTTACAGTGTGATTGCCATAATTTAAAACGGTATGATGGTCGATTCAGCTGTGCACAGGATGTTTAAGAAATTTTCACCTAATTACAAGTTTTTTAATAAATTTTTTTGTCAAATTTATCACCGATTTTTTTTTATTTTTGATAAGTAATCCGTAACTTCTGGATAGGATTTTTCAGTTTAGAAGTGTATCTAAATTCTTGTTTACTTTTAAGCAAACTTTATATAAAACTTTATAGAAAATCTGTTTTTCTTTGTAAGAAGAATATATTTTCTTTGTAAGAAGAATATATACTTTATGTTGAACAAGGATAGTGTTGTAACATTCTGTGCATGGCTGAATACACTTTATGTTTCGAAAGATCAAGAGTTATACAAAGAGGTACACATACGAAACTGTCTTTATCGCTCTTCCGAGATCGGCAGCACCCTTTCGTTGCATATTGACAGACGTAAACGTGTCGTGTCGGAAAGAATATAGAAGATAATGTTTTGTGTTTCTTTTGTTTCTGTCCGTGCGAGACTTACATGCGACGTTACTACTGAGCACTAGAAGAGATTACCCTTAAGTACTAGGCAGTCAAGGTAATATGCAATAATAAAAAAAAAACACCGTGTATGTATTCTATTACCGAGTGTAGATACTGGATAGAGAAATTCGCCGGCGCTTGCGAGAGAAAACAGTGAAGCAAAAAAAAAAGTACATTACGGCATATCAACGATCTCTTGAACTGCATCTTGGCAGAACTTTTCGTGCCGCAAGGATAGGATAATCAGGTACTAGGAACAGCCCTATACAGAGTTCCGATCCTTTGAAAAGGGAAAGACACGATCGATCGACGTCCGATCGAGAAGTCAAGCTCCATATACTGTAATTTCTGATTTTTACCACAAGTTCTCGAGTTTCAATTCACCACACGCTTCTCGATCGGAATGAGAGAAGGTATAGTCTGTATATAGCTCTATATATATATATATATATATATACACATCTATAATATATAGTTTCTTTCACAATACGAAATAATGGTAATAATATTGTAAAAGTCTACGTCATAATCTAGTTCCGCATCAACGAAGCCGTTGCCTGGTAAATATTGATTGTACTCGATTCTACTATGTTTTGCAAATACTCGGAGGATTCGCAGACACACGTGAGCATACCTAATAGTACATCCTAAAGTTACTTCTATCTGATAGAAAGCGTCTCGGCCAGAGATTTACAGCCAAGGCCGAAAGTGTTAAGAGTGTGAGTAATGATTTGAAAGTTTCAAAGGATAGGAACCCGCTCCGAACACTGCCCGCACGAGGATTCATTATGATTAAATATAATACACACCGTATAATAATTACAATAATTATAGTATTAATTAAGAATTATTATGTTAATAGTTATTTAACCATGTGTATGGCTCAGTCTATTAAGCTAGTCTCATGCAACAACAACAATAAAGATACAACAATATATTTACTTGTGAGTTTGTCGAGTTTCAATTTATGTCACTTATTATTTTGTGTCTGCTCTAGTTTACTCTTATTTTTTTTTTTTTTGTTTTTTTCTCTTGTTTTCTTCGGTTGCAATCACCCCGTTATTATATATCCCCATACATACTTCTTCGCACTCAATTTTTACTCACGATAGAAAAAACTGGAAATTTCAAATATCAATCAACATTGATCACTTTTCAGTCCTATCATTGTAATATTTAATATAATAATTATATATAAATAGACGATCTCACCGTTACTTCACAATCATTTATAAATTTATTACTTCGATCTTATCTTGACTGAGAGCTTTTTAATAGCGTATTAATAAATAATTGCGAGCCACATGATCCCTCGACGAGAAACGTATGGATAAAATGGATTGTAGAAACTGTATGTACCAGAAAATCTATACCGAAGTCAAAAAGAAATATATATATTTACAACGACGATGGAACACACTCTAGATTGTATTGCGATACGAAATTTCATGTAGTAATCCAAGATCGATGCGACAACGAGCATTTTGTTTCTTCATCACTGCCAAGATCTTTCGTCTAGCTTAGGAACTATCGAGAGGTGAACTATACAACTTGTGTGCAAATTGCCGTTAACTGTTATTAAATCCTTAAAATGTAAGTCGGTGAAAGTGAGGTGATAACGATGTCGATTTTGCGTATGCAATATTTACACATCCTATACATATACGCGCGATAGAAAAAAAATTAAAATAGTGACTATGAATTTTTTCTATTTAGATTTGCGTCGAGTGGCATGTGGTTCGAATTTTATGTTTGTTTTTACTTTTTTCAAGCTCTTAAGTAATTATAAAAAACAGTAATATCACAAAAATGGCGCAGGCAGGGCAAGGAAAGGGGCCAGAGTTTAGGGATAAAATTATGACAATATACATATATAATATCTATATTGCCAAGTTGAACGAGTGTGGATTAAGTCAAGGAGCGGCCACGAAATTCACCTAATTCTCCGTGCAGAATCTTTCTTCCGCAGGAACACAAAGAGACCGAACAGAAGTCTGTTGCATGTGCCGTAAATGACAATGGAAGGATGTAGAATTACCCTTATTCGATAAGCGACGACAAAGCATCTTTATCGTAGTGTACTCAATGTTTTAATTCTTCAGTCGAAATGAGATTAGAACATAATCCTTTTTTTTAACGTTTTTCTCGCCCGCGCTAGTTCAATTTCCCCCAGTCACTGGATTTTTATTGATTAATTTCAAAGTTTGATTGACAATAGCGACTTAATGATGGTCAGTTTTTCCAGGTTGAGCTTTCTTCCTTTGTATTTTTTTTTCTCTTTTCTTACTTAATTCCAATGATTGAAAAGATGAAAATTAAAATAATTTTTTTCTTTTATATCGTAAAACTATTTAGAAATCGTTTTTGAAGGATTTTGCAACAAATCAGAGATTATATTTACTTAAATCTCAATATAACACATTTATATAAATTTTGTCACAATATCAGTGAATTATAATTCTTTTCCCACGTTTTTTAAAGTGAAAAACGAAAGATAAAAGCGTGCATCATTTAAAGTAAAGAGTTGCTCGTTTCTTTGAACTGGCCCAAGTAACTGGAATGACACAATCTGTCCTCGATTTCTTTCTCTTCTTGTTTCTCTCAAAAACGATTTAAACACAAGATTTTTTTTATCCAGATGAACATCGAGATCATTATATCGCGCGCAAATAAAATCAACATCGCCATAGATTTCACGTCATAGATCTGCTCGTTCTGTGAATCGCATCTGTAAACCGTTTTTTTTTATTTTTATTTTTTTTTAATTTTAATCGATGACTGTGATTAAACATCGACTCGAGAGTTCGATAAATTAATAAAGATTTGACATCGTATCTATTATAATCATTAACAAAAACGTCCATTCTAAAATGCATTTACCTATATTTACACTAATGCTAATATGATACTAATTTAATATGTTTAACAAAAAGGTAATCACAAAATGGTCGGTTGAGTTAAAACATCGTATCATGTTGAAATATACGTACATATATATATAACAGAATGCGTATATTATATGTACGTATACATATTTGAAATGTTTTATATACGATGACAAAGTTGTCGCGTATAACCTAATATCACAATTAGCAGGGAGAGAATAAAATAAGCAGAAAAATTTTGGTTCGAAACGACGGAATGGCACTTTCTGCGTTATATCTTCTTAATGTGTGATTTCTTCAACGTATAAAAATACAATATTCTCAAAAAATCCTCTGTACACTATGAAATTTCTAATAACGTACTCTATATCATATTTATTATCAAATAAGTAGTTCTACCTTGTTTCTAAAACTCTACAAACACATTCGAGTAATCTCTCGCTCTCGCTCTCTCAAAAAAAAGAAAAAAGGAAAAAAAAGAAAATAAAGGAAGAAAAGGTCAATATTAACATACAAATTTTCGATCACAGTGTTCGGCGATCTCTATAACGTGAGATCTATGCTTACGCTTACATCCAACGTTTTCTGCAAGTTGGTTTTGATAATAATTATATATATATATCTAGTGTTATAATATAGAGCTGGACCAAAGTTGTTCATGGCGCCAGCACTTGTCACGTTTCGACATACGCGAGAATCAAATAACACTTTCGAGTGTTACACGTAGCGCTAATGGAAACGAGTGTACATCACTACATCAAGGTATATCGGTTGTTATACCTTATTTCGTCTCTTGAAATTGGTGATCCCCACAAAATTCCTCCCTCCCACCCCGAAGTTACATCCCCGCCCACCCACGCTTTTATGTTGCGGCCAATGCTTATCTCTTGTCGTTCTCTTCTCGCTTTGATTCTCTAACATTTCGTTTTATATCATTCTTCAGCCCTCTCCCGGTTAGGCTAAAGGCTAAACACTCGGCGTGTGCGTTATCATACTCCTGGAGAGCACGATAACAGACTACGATGATACGGTAACGACAACGATGTTGATGAGAAGAGGCCGTGGTTTCACCCACCCGTCCCATCCGCCCATTGTTTCCCGCCCAACCCCATTCGGCCTGCTTTGTTAAGCGGCCTTCTGAAAAAAAAAATATATATATATATAAAATTGTAAAAATAAATCTTTGAATTCACCAAATTTATATCAACGTTATATTTGAAATTGTTGACTTACCGCTTTTAGGCGGAGTTTTTCAGACGCCATACATATTTTGAAGCCGCTCACTAAGTTGCGGCGGAAATTGATCGGAAAATCGTTTCCAATTATCTTCACCCACTTGATTTTTGAACGTGAACAGTATCTGAACACGAAGAGACAATTGTAAAGTTACATCTATCAGGAGGTACTTAATTCGTCAGTCATAAAACGCCGTTTTAATACCTTCTGAAACATCTCCTTCAAGTCGTCTTTCGGCGCCGACCACGACGCCACAGCATCACAGAAAAAGATAAAGTCTGGAACGACGCCAGCTGGATTGACAGTAATCATTTGACACATACCTCGGAAGGCAGAATCCTTTTCTTCGTTATCTCTTATGCTTCGCAAGGAAGTGCACCTATTGATAAATTTACATTGATAATCTCATTAGATCTCGTTCGACTTCTTGGTTCAACGGGAAGGTACTTCGATCAGTGAAACACGCGGACTTTGACATCTGTCGATTTTAAAATTGTCAAGTTTTGCTCGATATTATAAAAAAATGCACGAGCTCCCCCGCCAATGATCGAAGTAGCTTTCTTTAGATTGTAATATATTTACATAGAGATATATTATAACATGGCTTTGGCAAAAGTTAGACAATTAGCCACTTATTTTCATTCCCACAAGTCACACATAAATAGATGTTCATTTTCAAAGTAGCATTCGACGAGAGGCGAAATAGTTGGCTTACTGTGAGGCCAGTCCAAGGCAATAATTATTTCAGTTCTTTTCTCATTAACTCTTTTCTCATTGATCGAGAAATTATTATTTCAGATTAATAAATATATACATATAAAATATGTACATCATCTTTAAAGCCAACGCATGAAGTTAGAATTGATATTAATGGATGTATTGATTTTACAAATATAAATTATAGTAGTTAATTAGAGCAAAGATTGATCCCTGAACTTAATTTAAGAGCCTAGCCTATATGTAGAATATTTATATATTTATATATATGTATATATGACTGGCGTCATATTTCACTTACTGTCTTATTAAAGGCTGGGTTTACATTTGACATTTACAATACGGCACATCATGTAATTAGACTGAACGAGATTCGACAAGTGTCAAAATTCCAATTTACCAAACATGCAAAGTAGAATTTAATCGAGCGATAATACTACCTATGATACACGGATGAATTCGCGGTGATGTAAAGGTGACAAATGTAAACCTATCCTGATCTTGAATCAGATAAACAGGAGCCCATAACACACTTGCATGGTGGCAAAATAAAGATTAGAATTATGTTATATAACGAATTCAAATATAAGATGTTACTGCGAATACTGCAAAAAACCATTGAGCAAGTTCATGCTGTGACAACTCCAAGAGAGCATTCCTGTTACACATTATACTTCAGCTTCTTTCGGCAAGAGCTTGTTTTGCTTCATACTAACGCTAGAAAACGAGTCATTTTCATAAATTGTACAGTGTACAGCTCACAATATATTCTTGCACAAAAGTTCTTAGCAGCCCCTGATGCAATTACTCAGGAATCAGGAATATAATAATGTATAATAATAAAGTGCTAATAAAAATAGAAGATAATATAATTAATAGAATATAATATAATAAAGAAAGTTACACACCACTGTCGGACAAACTGCTGTAACATGGGGGCGACGTCGTGGGGACACACAAAACCTAGGCGACCGATCGTTATGGCTACGGTTTCATTTTCGGTTTCGGTAAGTAGACAAGAGTGAAGTGTAGTGAAGTGACCGGAAACACAAACAATAAGACAAACTGATAGCGAACCAACGATCAACTTAGGCGAAGAAGAATATATATGCTCTGCTTGTAACTTCCAATTAATTCTCAATTAATAATTCAGTCAATTAAGAATCAAGTAACATTAATCGAAGACAGTGAGAACACAGGTGAAACATATGAGATACCGACAATGAAACATAGGCAATACCGTGCTATTGTAGCTGCTGAAACAATAATCGAAATTAGATAGCAGCGTGCGAGCCCGTGTGATCTGTAGAACCGGTAAATACCAAATGACCTCTCTACTATATAGAAGAAATATATGTCAGTATACAAATAATAGAACAATAAATAGGAGTACAGAACAAAATTTGCATTATGATCTCTTAAAGGCCAATTCAAACAATTCAGTTGAAACAATAGAATCTGGGGCTTAGAAATATGCAAGCATATAGTGTATATATACATATACTGAATATGCATACAGTATATATATATATATACTGAATTGCAATATGTATTTCCATGGCAATAACAGCCGTATATACGTTCAAGCCTACAGGCAGTCGCACACCACTAAATTAAGGTTCAATATACAAGTACTAATTATTTAAACCTGACGATAAAACGTGCAATCGCGATTTATGTATATAATAACCACGTAAAGTCACTGAACTGTGTGATTCATTGTTGCTCAAAAAATTACTTAAAAAAATAAAAAAAAATAAACAAATATATATATATGCACCTAAAGAGCTGAATGCCACCAAATGCTCAATCTAGCGTGAGTAATATTCTAAATTACTGGGGAGACTTTTCATTAAATGATTATCAGAAGTGCTCTTTTCAAATAGATTAAAATTAGTGGAGATACTCTTAAGAGTGTTTTTTAACTTATTAATTGTGCACACGGTTATTATAGTATAAGCTGGCAATTCAGCGGGCGTATTAAAGCTAATCTCTGTAAATGAGAAGTTTCCCAATGTGCACAGAGAGAGCACACAGTCGTGACGGAGTGTATTTCGTAAGTCAGCACGGGAAAGATAGCGATGTATGTATGTATGTATATATATATATATATAGATGTATATATACACACATATATATATATATATATATATATATATATATATATATATATAGGAATCAGCAGATTCTGCTGTCGGATCGAGTCTCACTACACATTGCCCTCTATTCGTTTCAAAGTATGCTCGGTGTATTATATACGGTACGCTCTATAAGAGAAAACTAGATATTGATAAAAGTTGAATGGAGAACTCACCGGTATTTTCTAACAGTGTTTTCGGTGTGTCCGGTCGGTTAATTATGTCGATGAGTTGTGTCAAAATTAATGGAATATATGTACTTGTATCAGGCCCTGCAAAATAAAAGCGAGATGAGTAACAAGTTCTTTTTTTTCTTCTGTAAAAATATCACCTTTGATGCTTACCAAGTTTTATCGAAATTTCACCGATTGCCCATGTCGCATTGTTACATACTGATATGAATTGCGGATACAAGTTTTGTCCTAGTATAGGCATAAACTCCGCTGTGCGTAAAAAATTCATTGTTAAAACAAATCTAATAAATTTCATGCTTTCCACTTGCGAACATACTTACGTATACAGGGGAGCACATGTTGGAAGCAAGCTTTCGTTAGGTCTCCTAATAAAGCGAAGCTACTTTGTCTAACTTCAGGCATGGTGTCTTGCATACACTGATATAATAACTGCATAACGTTACTGTTCATAACTAAACGTTCCATGTGACCGTCCAGTCCTTCTGCCAGTCCACTTAGGAGATCTAATGCCACAATCATGAAGTCTTTATCCGGTGCCTCAAACTGCTCAGGACTCTGCGTACTCGCTATATGTTGATTCAGCGTCTGCTCGACAAGCGACACACATCGTCTGCAAACAAGATAAATTAGTAACAATTAGAGATAAATTATAATTATTAAAGTAATACGAAACAGATTTATTGTATTGAAATTATTTTGCGGAACATACAAACCTATAGACAGGTTCACAGTACGGTAGGAAACCTGAACGTAACGCGGTTGCCACCGAAGAGAGGCATTCCAACAATGGAAATAGGTCTTTATCCTCATCCTTCAGTACATTCCACTTATTAATAAGAGGCGGCATCAGAAGATTGATATAGTCTGGTCTGTTCAGATGGTGACCCACAGAATCGGCGAGGGTGCCGATTGCGTCGTACAGTATCAAAAGGTTTTTATGTTGATATTTACCTGCAAACAGATTGCCATATTGATCAATAACACATCGTCTGAATCAGAGCAAACTGTTTGTTTCATATTATCGTACTCACCAAACGCAAAGACTAGTGTCTCGAGAATGAATCCCAGATAAGGGACCAGTTCGGTGCATGCCTCTTCCTCCAAAGTTGCAAAAGCGGAACATGCGGCCTCTTGAACACGTTTGTTACTGTCAAGCACTCTTTTGAGCAATTCTGTCATCAGAGGTTTTAGATACGACTCGTGTGGTTGTGCACAAACCCAATGCGCGTAACGACTCAGCGTCCAGCAAGTTATGGCACGCACAAGAGCCTTCTTGTCGCTCAGACAGCCGATCAAATAAGGAATGAGCTCCGACAGATGTGGGATCATGCCGCTCATGCAACCTGTAATCATTCAAGTTTTTCAAGCTCAATCGTTTATCTTATATTTTTTTTTTACTTATTTATAGAACATTGCATACCTTCAGCGATAGCTCCAAGTGCCAAGATACCAGATTCTTTAATTTCCCAAGATGGGTGAAAAAGAGTCTCCTTTAGAATTGGCACCAGAACCGGCAATAGGTCTTCTCTAAAAACGTTAGCTAACATATCCAAAGCGGCGGCGGAACATTTTCTCAAATTCCAATCGCTCAAAGTCGAATCGTCATCGCATCCATCTTCGACATCTATGTCCTCATCGTCGCAACCACCATTCACACCGCCGTTTTCATCGGTATGCTTACTCATACCGTTTGCGTGATGTGAGTGGTGTGTTTTCGACTTGTGAAATCGTGGTCGGATGTCCTCTTCTCTGTCTGGTATCATTTCATCCTCCTCTACGTCTCCTTTGAGAAGGATTATGTCAATTTCTGAATATTTCATACCTCTCACCTGTAAAATAGATTTAAAAAAATTAGAAAAGACCGAATGATTATTGCTGTTAAATTGTTTACGATAAATTTGAAAGAAAACTCACCAAGACAGGTACTAATCGGGTCAAATGTGGTGCAAGTGCTTCTTTACAAATTGGTTGTTCCGCTAATGACAACCAAAACTCACACGCTTCTAATGCTACTCCTTCGTCGACGTCTTGAGTTCTCATTAGCATATATTCGATTATATTGTGCATGTGTGGTATTAGTCGGTCCATTCGTACCTCAAGCAGCATCACCAGCGCCCTATGCACATAAAATATTAAAGATAAATTCATGTCTTTAGGAATAATAAAAAGATTTCTCCGCAATATACTATCAGCTACCTGCAAACATTTTTTCTCACTTCAGAATCATCGTCTGAAGCTAAATGGAAGAGATTCTCCAAAAAGCTGTCTATATGTATCATAAGAGCTTGCGTACGTTGAATGATGAACTGATTGACACACGCTATCGCGTGGGATCTGATCTTGGGACTCGAGTGTCTAAAGAAATGAAGGAACTTTGGAATCAGAATGTTCAGAGGGCGATTCAGAGCGTCCGAATCTAATATCTCTGCAGAATCTTCGCAAATCTTCTGTAAAGCGCCAAACGCGCCCTCACAAACGTTGTAATCTTGTGAATCCAACATTTGACATAACGCAGGTAACAATTCTGGCCAAGCTGTTAATTCACCTACTCGCGGAAATATTTCAACCATCAAAAAAATATACAACATGCACCTTTCCAGGCACTACAGAATATGAAACATACCTTTTGATGCGACAGTAGTAATCAAAATACCGACGGTCGCACGAATCAGCGGTGATGGATCTCCGACAGCCGACAGACATTCTTGCTTTATGAAATTTATGACTTCTGGTAGAAATTTATGAAAATGAGTCTTTACATTATTTTTGAGTATCAGTCCACTCAGCGATCTAGTAGGTTCATCTTGATAAAAAAAAAAAATTATTAGTTCATATAAATGCATAACCATAAAATTTAAAATCTTGAGTATCTTAAAAATAAGATTTAAATAACATACCTTCTGATGTAAGTTTCGTTAGAACAAATATTAAATAGTTGTTAAAATCTGGAAATTTATTCAATTCTTCCAATTTCTATAACAAAAGCTGTTAAGGAAAATAACGTGGGATGCCTGTGCAATTACTTCACAACGTAAATAATGGAGATATTGATATGCGAGCACACAACCAAGTCGATCTATTTCCGATATAAAATGCCATTGTTACTATTGATAAAGCGCAATTGTATTAATTCAATATGGTTGTAATCCAAGCAGCGTCAACAGTTTATTTACGCGCGTTCGCGCGGGTGCCCGGGCCCCGCCAGAAGAGAGTCCCGCGAAAGCTATCGATCAGAGCCGCGCTGGGAAAACAAGCTCCGCGCGCGCGAGCGAGCGAGCAAGCCGGAATCTGCACGGGCCGTACGGTGGCCGGGGGTGCATTGTTAGCATATTTGCAGCTCGACGCGCGAGAGGCATCGGGTAATGCACGATTCTGTACGCGAGGAGGCCCCGAACGACATTTTCGATCGGCGACGAGGGCAATCGTGTGACAGGATGCGCGAAGCGAAGGAACGAGCGAGTGAGCGATCATCGCGATCGCGAAATTCGTTGTCGCGCGTGATCCCACGACGCTTGCGGAGACCGTATTCGCGGACATTAATTGATTTTAAATTCGACTCTGAATATTTCCGGTCGAAATATAACCGCGTGCCGGGAAGATGAACGATGACGGACAGGCTGTCGCGGCACGCCGCGCGCGCGTCTCTATTACTCACTCGCTTTGGGGGCCACGTATGTGTAACACGACAATGATGACGATGGGCATACGGAAAACACGAGCACGCGAGCACTTGGCGTAACCAGGGCAAAAGGATACTTGTTGTACGGCTCGTTGGGTCGCTGTATCCGGGCTCTGCGACTCCTTGAGCAGCGTTAAGATTTGCCTGAGTCCTTCCTCCTGCGGTTGCCACGCCATTTTCATCGTGTTTTTCAACAGCACCACCGTAACGCGCAGCCTGCCTTCTCTGACCTCGTAGATAAACGGAAGCTCCCCACGGCTCTCTCTTCCCCCCGTTGTCGATCAGCCTCCCCCTCCCAAACAACAAGCCAGCGCTCGTCAGGGCCGTGATCGTGCGAGGAGTGCCACGCCCTTGGCTCACGTTTGGAGCCCTTTCCGTTTGTCAGCCTCCGCGTGTCTCTTAGCGTCCGCACCGTCTGCGAAACCGGCCTTTCTCGTCCGTCTGAGAAATTCGAGAAAACCGGATTGCGGTCCGGTTCGCGAATTAGATGCTTACAGCTATTCGCATATTCGGGAGGTTCTTGCACCGCATGGGAACGACGATTGCAACGTGCGCGGTTCGATAATGTCGCGAGCGGGGATTTTAAAACTGGAATTTTTCGGCAAAATCGGATGTTGTTGTCGGAGACGCGGGAAAAACGAATCTCACGCTTCTGCGTGACAATGGAAAGTTAGATCGAAAAATGAGTTTGATATTCAATAAGAATAAGCGATTAAATTTACAATAAAATAAAAATACTGTGTTTGAATGAAACGCAATATGTTTATTTGCAAATATAAAAATTCTATTAACACATATTGAGAATGGTAAAAACATAAAGATGATTGCATTTATACGTGGCGAAGGTCGAGAATGTTTTCCAAGACGCCTCGACTCGCCACCCTTACAATAAGTACACGCTATGAAGCAAACTATGCGTATTTATCGCAAAATTGGATAGCGAGAACACACATGTTGCGATCTAAAAGAAAACACAAACATATCTCGGTAAAACCTTATCAAAAAGTAACTAAACGGAAAAGTATGCCGGAAACTTATTAGAAATCTTATATGTACATGAAATATATTAGCGCTTTTATCGTTGGACTTACAAAAGCGTTTTCCTCTGCGGCGAAGACCACACGCGGTGTGATACACTTAAGGCTAGAAATTAATTTTGTTTCTTAACTAGAATTAATTAATCGTTACGATTTCTTACAATTTGTACTGTCGCGCTATTACAAATATCATGACTCACACTCAACTTTGGGGTAACTTTTGAAGTGTCAGTCTTCTGTGATGTGCTGCCAAACATAGATACATCATTTACATGGATGGATAACAATCCAAGTAATCTCTCACTTTTCTTACAAGACGCAAGTTTTCCTTGTGATTTTTTTGTTCTACCTGTGAACTATCTCCCTTTTTTTGATCGATTTCTCATATTTCTACACGAGATTGGTTCATTTTCTTTCTTTAAATGTGCTTTACTTAGGTAACTGCAATAACAAGGCCATAGTGAAGGTATTTATGCATATAAATGGCATTTTAGAACACTATTATATATTGACATTTATGAATAATCCAGGAATTTGTTTCCTGGATCTGATATTAATCATGCAATTTTTCCTTCATTATTTTTTCGACAAATTGCCAATATCATTTAATGTATATACAGCGTTCAACGCGTTTCAACAGTGGCGGAAACAACTTCCACCATCCAAGCATTAATATCGACGTGGAAATGAAGTATTTGAATATGTATTGCTTTGTGGAAATTTTTAGTACAAAAACATTAAATAGTTAATATATTCACAATATAAATACAGATGCTACGATAAATCGCACCGATTGTAGTGCTTATTAATAACGGTAGTTGTAAAGGCACATGTCAGAGAAGAATCCTGGCTCGTTCTCATTATTGTTTGAACGATCTCTGTAAACGTTTTGTAAAAAGGAACCTTTGCGATATTCGATTGTTTTCTAAATCGGTCGTCCGTGAACACGGAATCTGTATAAACACGTGTAATCCAGTTGTCCGTGGTTGCTGTGTATCCTCAACTCGATGTATTCGTATGGTTTGTTGATCTCTGTGTTCTGGGTGTAAAAGTATCAACAATTATAACAAATTTGAGGTATAATAATAATAACCACGATATCGAGCTCTCAGAATTAGAATTTACAAAATCATTAAAAATTTATATATTAATACTATAATTCTAATACCGAATACTTATTAATATTGAAAATCGCTCGAATTAGTAAATAAAATATTCACCTGAACTGGGAAATATTGCAAACTCTCATCAGAATATGTGAATTCGTAGTCACCAAACATCACAGGCTTGGAATCATTTTCACTTATAAATCCCTATTAGAATACATAAGCATTGAAAAAGAAATATTACAATACTTAAATGTACAAACGGAATATTTTTACATACCCAGACATCGAACCTCTTGGGCGCACTCGACATATTTTCATTCGGCAAATTTAATCTGGGAACATGCTCCAAAGTGAAGCCAGTTACGTAAACGACGCTTCGCAATTGTATCAGGAGATATCCAGGAAAATCTTGGAAGGCCCAGCAAATACCAGGTTGTATTGTGTTCCCTTGTATTACCGTCCGCGGATTATTACTTTCGTAATACATCGTGAAACCGAATAAGCTGAAGGCCCTCGACTTTATGTCGTACTTTTGAGTGCATCGCGTGCTAATAATCTGACCTCCTGTGTGCAAACATAATAGATTTATTGCAATTATTTGTTTATCAGTTATCTTTAATTTATTAGTGCAATACGATACCTGCTGACTCCAAAGCATAATCTACTTGACCCGTTTTGTCTGCGTCATATATTCGTAGAACTTCCTTTACTATTTTGCGCATGTGCTCATCCGAGACGTGAACGTTAGCACTGCTAACGTCGTTATTAAAGACAGTTTGAGCTGTAAAAATATTCATAATTCTTAATATTAATAATATGATGTGATGAAAACAAGTTTAAAAAGTAGATGATCGTTTTTGAACCTTCTTTGTTGTAAGATGCGAGTAAATTCCGACTGATTTTCGCCAGATCTTCTTTTGAAATTCCAGGAGGGAGATAGTTAAACAAAATTCTTTCCACGTGCTTTTCTATATCCTGATTCGCGACAGATATTGCATTTTTGTTGCAACAAGATTTTAATTCCGAATAGAGTTCACGTAGTTTTTCAAATTCATGTTTGATAATTTTAAGCTCGTTATACATTATATTAGTTACTTCAGTGACATCCAATTTACTTTCCACATTAGTAATTTTGTCCTGAAAGTATCACAGAATTCGAGAACTCTCTATAATTATTTTTAATTCTTAAACGTTGATAAAATCGTAAACTTACATTATACTCTCTTCGGAAATCAGCATCGTTCTGTTTACGATCTTCCAGAGCTTGAGTAATATTCATAAGATATTCCTGCAAAATATTTAGTAATTACAAAATACGCAAGAATTAAAATCGTAGAAAAATTTAGATTTATACCATTTGATATGCTTGTCCGTTTTCGAGTATTTCTATTCTCCCGACCAAATCAGGTTTATTAACCAAATTCTCTTCTGGTGCTTCTTTATAAGTCAATTTCTTCTCTTCACCTCCACTTTTATAACTGTTCCATTGTTGTACATGAGGTAATAATTTCTCCGTCGCTGTATCTGACACGATTTTAACGCCAGGAAGGAGTGATAAGCATTGCGCTGTACACCATGCACCTGAAATGAGAATTCCATATTATTTATAAATAACTAATAATTCAAACATTCATCTCCTTCTCCTGTTACTGTATTGAATTACAGCGTTCCAACATGAAATTAGTGTGCCATATAATTGTCCAATTATTCAATTTACAATCATAGATACATGTTTTATGGCACATATACCAATTACAATGGTGTAATTGGTCGAAATGGAACTATCATACAATATGGTAACTGAGAGAAGGATAGACGAAGAAACTCACCGTTTCGATGACATCGCGCGATCACGATTCCAAGTTTCTTAAGCACAACACACTCCAACTTTTTAACACCTAGCAGAACAATCCTCCCTCTATCCTTCTCCCATCAACAATATTTTATCTTTCGCTTTTTAGATCGGATCATAAAACATTTGGTCGGGACACTACGACGCTATATCACTCTAACGGACTGAGCTCAAAAAATTACTAATGTCGTACACAAGAAAAATATATATATTTTTTTATTAAGTATGAACGTGCTTTTACAATACAGATATATCTAACGATGATAACCATTACACCAAAATAATATTGTTACACCCTTAATATATATCAAAGAGAAAAGAAGCAATATATGTAGCGATTAATTGAAAAATGATAAATTTTATTTCATTCAACAATATGATTGAATTGTTATATATTATTATTCATATATATTTATAAAATTAAATATTCAAAAAAAATGTATTATTAACAAAAAGAAATATAATTATGATAAGTTATAGCATAACAGAAAAAAATGACTAAGTGATGTGAACTAGATGTTGACCAGCTGCAGCTTGAAATGTAACACAAATCTATATAAATATAATTATGTAGTATATATAGCATAATATAGATAAATATATATCTCCACGCAACGTTAGTCTATTAGTAATAACAAAATATAAGTAAAGCGTTATCTGACAGTCAGTACGTACCACAAATACTATATCTTTCATTGCCCGATTCAGATACACAAAATAAATGCAGAGAAAGAACGAAATAGAACTTTTGAAATATAATATTAGCACCATATTTTGTATAGCAAACTATGCAATAAGCATGTTTTCTATAATCAATAACTCTCTATTTATAGAATTATTGAAATTTTCGTAATTATGAGGCAACGATATATATGCATAAACGTTACGATAACAGTACATACTGACTTGGTTATAGAGCAAAACAAAACCGATATCACACAAAATTAATAATTTCAGAATAAATGGATGAAAGAGATATATCATATTCTTTTATAAAAATTATATCATAGGTGTAAATTCTATGATACAATCAATTTAATGGAAATTTTCCATACAAATATATATATTATATTATTCTTTCATTGTTTTATTTTGTAAAAGAATATAAGTGTTGAATGTCACCTTCATCCATTTAAACTGACTTATATATTTAAGATTACTGTTATCTTAAGCCAATTTTTCAATTAATCACTACTTTATATTCCACCCAATGGGAGGCATTTCAGGCAAAGACACGTTCACACTGGATAAGAGGTGCATAAAGTAATTTGCAAAATTTGCAAAATATTTGGTAAATGACTCATAGACAAAAGATGTTAGGTTGGTAATATCATTAAAGATGTGATAAGTCGTCTCAGTGACACCATATTGGACACTGCGCAGATAGTCCACACAGGTAAAGAAATGTTCTTGCGCGATATAAGCTCCTGAAACAAAAAAGACGAAGGCCAGAATAGGTTTATGTGCCTCTCTGGTGCTGGTCCCATGATAGACATTGGTCTGACTGTGCTTGGATGATCGGTTTAGATATCAAAATTCAGTGATGAGGAGTGTCAATAAAAATGAGAAGTCCAGAGATGTCTCTTTTTTCTTTGAAAAAAAAAAATTCCTTAAACAATATAAAATTATGAAACTCACCAAACAAAAGAAGTAACGGTAGAAGCGTAATCCAAAGAATCTTCGGACCATTTTCTCGCAATCGATTTCTAACGCCGGTAAATCGACTTAGCAGCCAAGCATCAAGTACAAGTATTCTGACGAAGAAAAAATATGTGTTGTGCGTATAGCGATCCAAAGCTTGCCATAATGCGCTCCATTTGGATTCGGATTCTGAATAACAAATAATGAAATATTATATAATATTAATATTAATATGTTAAGACTGGAATAATTCTTAGATGCGACATTATAAATACATTTGCATTTATACAGAATGCTGATCATACCATTATAATATTGATAAGCTTGTGCACTGTAATATTGCCTTCTCCTATCTGTTCTGAACTTGAAGAAATCGATGGTTTTCCGGAACCAAATAGCAATAAAGGTTGTAAGATAAGTAAACCATTGCACAATCTTCCATCTGCGGTTAGTCGGGACTGATGATAACTTTGATGCTGTGAAGGTCTCATCCAATTCAGTATCAGAATCAGCGCGAGATGCATATTTCTCAGTGACTCTTGAAGGGGTCCACCATGAAAAATATCTGTTAAGATAATATTATATTGTATATTTTATTTAATAAAAGTATCGTTTTAATAAAAAAAATCAAATACTTTGTTTGAAAATCCGAAGAATATCCAGGGTCTGAATAAACTACTTTATGACTTGTGTACTGCTCTATGTGTGTTCTTTTATAAACAGTCGATTTTGCTGCAGAATTTGATTTATACGAGCATGGCATGTCGCCGAACTGTAAAATTAAAGAAACAGATTGTTTTTTGATAGAAATATACAAAACTGTTATATCAAAACAAATGAGGACACATTAATTAAAAATTGCAAATACTTACCGAATCAATTAAAGAGCCTGTTTCTTTGAAATCAACTGTATCCATGTCACTGATTCCACTTTCTGTTGTTCCTCGCGAAGTTTCACTTGACTTTTGATAACTGACCTGAGGTATAGTGCTGCCATTGTTATCCGCGTGTAGAGATCGCCTTGACATATTAGGCATAGCTAATACACCAGGGGCTATCTCATAACGACATTTCGATGCTTGAGAATACGTATAATCTGTCTTTGGAAAAACGCTGAAACATTTACAAATAATATTATCATTCACATAAATGACATTTTTATTCTAAATTGTTCGACTCGTTTGAATAATTTTATGGTTACCAGTGTCAACAACTCAACCTTTACTATGTGACTTATGCTAATCAAAATGTGCTACTGTTTACAAACATTTCTTTCCAACAGAAAAGTTACGATTTCAAGAAGTAAAATAAATAATCAAATGTGCAGCCACAAATAGAGGAATTCATACACTAGTAAAATTACTTAACATTTAGTAAGTAAATAAAAAAAATCTTGGATTGTTAAAAATAAAATGTGTGTTCACAGATTGAAATTAAGGATATACATACTTCCACCAGTCACCGGCCTGTTTGTAAATCTCATAAGCAGATCCTGGTCTACTTGGAGGATCTTCTCTTTCTCCTTCTTCTGACGAGTAATCACTGGTAAGTATTCTGCGTGGTGTAACACTTTTGCTCTTTCTCTCAGCACTTTGATCCAACGTGTCCTCCTTGCTTTCACTCTGACCATTAGCAAATATTTGTCTTTTAGCTCTCTGACGCTCTGATCGTCGTTCTGGTTTTTTTGTGATTATGATAGAACTTTCTGACTTTGTGCTTTGATTATCTGTGATACTTCCTGTCACAGATCCTTCCTTGCTCTCTTCTATTATTCCCATGCTCTTATCATGCATTTTAACATTAGTGCCAGTTCTATGGTTATTGAAAGGAAATACAAATGATAAACATAAAACACATTCAAATTTGTTGCAGGAATAGCAAACACTCTTAAGCTTAAGTCAAGTGATCTTACAAAGATCTAGAACCAGATCTTCTGCTACTGGTGACTTCTCCAGGTGTGTGAGATCTCTCCCTGCTCTTGTTTCTGAGATCATAATGATGTTCTGTTACCTCTAGTTCAACTAAAGGATGGCTTGGGACCATAGGAGTATGTGAGCGTGATCTACTCCTGCTGCGCAGCTCATAATGACGTTGTTCACCTTCCATTTTCCTGTCAAAACAACGAAACACATCAAGGGATTGAATAAATTAAAATAAAATGTCACGCAGAAGTTGCGGCAGTCCTAGAGGACTAACTCTGCAGTCTTGCCATAGGCAGTAACAGTGAAAGGTTATCGGCCAAAGATCTCGCCGCTTTCAGAAATGAGGTACAAGGGTCGCTGGCGAGTATATGCCGAACTACAGCTAAAAATAGTCCCCTCCTCGAAGGACAGCCGCGATCCTTCTCACTGGATTCTTATTTCTAGCCTCTCTTCTCCTCCACAACTATAATTGCTCCCAAAACTCCCAAACTTTACGCGTAAAGATCATAAATTCGCCTCTCTTACGCCGAAGCCGAATATTATAGTCAATTGTGACGATGTGAATATCGCATTTCATCATACACGCTCAACCGCTATCTTTCAGTCACGTTCAATCACGCTACTCCTCTGTGACGCGGATTCTCAACATCACTCGATTCATGAAGGAACCGTTTCAGCACTCATCAATTTATATATCTTTTATGCATAATCTTACATCAGAAAACAATCACCGTCAGCAAATATACCGCTATTTATAGAAAACTCACCGTTTCCGCGCGCGTGGCTAACGGGACGCGCGAGTTTTGCGTTGCGCAATATATGCGCGACCGCACGACAGACGCGTTTCAATTAAAAACGAACGCTTCCCCGCAAATCACCAGCCGCTGCGACATTCACGCGTGTATTATTGTATATGCATTCTGGCAATTCTTCAACGCGTAGAAAACGTAAAATGCGTGCGCGCGCAATTTACACGATGATTCATACACCGTAATTCTCCCTACAAGGGGGTCCACTTGACTTAGCAGGGGAGAGGAAATCGTCATCTTTGCGTGACTTTTTTTTTTAACTTATCGTTCATCTAAATTAAAACACATTTTAGCACGCAAAATGGGCATCAGAATTTCCGTTCACCGGTTAACCTCTTCTTAAACTCTCATAGATGTCTATCACTTTGTGAAAATTAATAAAATACATTGTATAACATATAAAATGTCTATAAATTGTAAACATGTAAAGTGCATTGTAAAGATGTAAATGCAGATAAATTTGAAGTAAATTAAAAAATAGATAAAACTTTACATTCTGCAATTCTGCAAAAAGTTTTCCAAGTTTTGTGTCACACCCAGCAAAAAGTTATATGTAATTATGAATATCGAGCTATATTCACTCTCTGTAAAATGTAAATAAAGTAAATCTCTGTTTTTTTGTTTACTAACGAATGGTAATTTATCTTCAGTTGGGGTTCAAAGTTGCGGGCGGATAAGTTAGAAGGTGCTAGTGGTCACCTTTGAGAAGTTTGATGACAGTGTAGGTGGTGTTAAAACAAAAAATAACTTGCGCGCGCAGTCGCGGTGGCGCATTATAAATACACTAGCGAGTCCACCGAGGTTAAGTTGTCAGCAGAGCACAGTGGTCGTATGATGGCGCAACATGTCGGCTGTTTGCAATTTGTGCCGGCAACGATTCTTTTACTACTTGTTCCCGTGTTCGTCGGCCAGCTAGCGAATGTAAACGCATCAACGACGACGAATTACGGTGCTGTCGGTCACGATGACGTTTTGCCGCGCATTGTTCAGTTCGCGGTTCAATCGGCGCGCGTGATAACGGCGGACACCGTCGCGTTGTCGGCACTGCCTTTGGGCATCTTTTCCAGTGATCAACATTTCCTTGTCGAGTTCCTAGGCACTGATCTCAGCCGCAATCTCGCGCTACGATGGTCGCCATCGAGTCAACTTTGCCCGGAGGATTCGAACAACACTCTGGACGCGGTATGGATGTCACCGACAAACAACCGCGTGATCTACAAATTTCGGACACTTCCCGACGCGGAGGTTACTACCATTTATTTTTGTCTGAAAAACAACAGTATTGGTGGCGATGAGAAATGGAGCAATATCGGAGATTACGTTTCCATAAAATTCCGAGCGGGGTAAGTTTTGACAATTTTCCTCTGTCCATATATAGATTCTTCTTCCCCCTCTTCATTGTGTGCGAATCTGTCGATCTCTTGGTTTTCCGTTAACTTGCGTATTTTTCAATTTGGTTTACTTTAGTGCCGTTTTGTCATGAGTTGTTCTGAGTCATCGGATAAGCATACGATAAAAGAATAAACGAAAATTTAAAAACATATATTAAATATAGTTATCTAAAAGCAGATTCTAAAATTCGCATATTTAACAATTAAAAATCATAACAGAAGAAGCATAAATATTTTGCTGGGTATTAATATTTCAGTAGTGATGTTAAAGACCTTGAGAAACTCATGTGATTTGTAATTAAGTTAAGGCAATTACACACGCTTGATGTATTGGGTTAATGGCTCAAATAGCATTGAACATTGTTCATATTAAGTAATCATATATGTTTTATTCTAAAATAGTAGTTTTCTTTTATTTTTCATACAAGATTGACGTTCTATTTACAATTTTTCTTTCTCTCATAAATAGATTTTTGAATAATTGTTAATTATTTTTATTTCCCCACATACAATTCTCACATGACGTTTGTTGTAAATTTCTTAAAATATAACTATAGTGAAATAACATTATTTTATTATTATATTTAAAATAGCATAAAAAATATATTCTTAAACTTCTATTAAAATGTATATATTTTTTATTTTAGCGTTGAAAGAAGCCATTCTTTTATTGTACTTAGTTTTTATTATTTGTTGTTTGATCGCCTATCGTGAAAAAACAAAAGTTATTTGCATTACATTCCTGATATACATAGCACATGCCAGAATTATCTTCGTTCCCACGAATATTACGGCACTGATTTATGAGAAGGAGAAAGACTTTGCGCGGCATGCAGATCGTTTAGTTTTCAATAAATCATGCTTAACTGCTCTCCCTTCAACGAGTGTTTACTCGACATCAACATTGAGGAGGACTAGACGTGTCAGATTAGGTAATAGAAGACGATGTCGTAGAATGATAAAACGTAGGGTGTATTTTATCGCTCCGGCGAAGAATGTGCAACTTTAGACGCGCATATTTGGACTCGCAGGAAGGAATTCGTCTAACATCGAAATGCGCGCGATAAAGTATATGTTATCCAGATGTAACCATTGACCAGCGTCCCTCGTTGGCAACAGTCCAGCCGACTGATTCAATAGTCAAACTTGGCTCACGTTAATGAGTAAAAATAGAGTTAGTGTGCGACCCATATATTTCGCTGTTTCCGATAACGCGTCGCACGCGCAGCGCGGCATTTACGCGATCATGCAAGATTTATTCATATTTTTACAGTTGTACAGTGTAATAAATTGTATCATAGATTTGTTTCTCTGTTTTTTTTTGTAAAAATCACATTTAAGTGATCTTTGATTTGTTACTCCGATTTGTAAAAATGTGGCTTCAGCAATTTCCTCATCCGATTTTAAATGCTTAATTTTTCATATTTTGTGGATTGTTAATGGGAAAATAATTTCTTTTAAATATAAGACGATTTATCTTATTTCTGCACTCGATGTTTTGTAAATGAGTTTATTTGGTATCAACAAAAATTAATCGATCTATGTAAGACAAATACATATCGACGATTTTGTGACATGATTTTTTATATTTATCTGAAATATCATTATCTAAACATCACATACGGAGACAATAGCCTTATTTACGAAACGGTTCTCATTACACACTACTCCGTGATTCATTCTATAGATTGACGGTATATTGATATCTCGAGAATGAATCTTGATAATGCTCTACGTGCCAGACATTAGGATTAATTTATTGATCGCTATTTTTTTCGTAGAACAAATGCGTATTTAAAACAGCGCGATTATAGTAAAAACAATAAGGACGGCGCATTAATAAGAACAATTAAATTTTATTTATTTTCTGTATGAACTGCGAATTTTATTTCTAGAAAATCTTTTCGTTCGCGACGGAGTGAAGCTCCGAAGTTACCTCTACTTCAAACTCCGCAAAACTATATGGATATACATATCAAAGGATTGCGCATAGAGATGGCCGACAAGGAGCCCATTTACGGCGAAGACGGAATCCCCGAAATTCTCGTCGGGAGTAAAGCAGTGATCCGATTATTCGGCACTGGTATCACGGATGATACGGTGATTACATTCACCGACGGAGAGGCGGAAAGAGGCGCCGTTTGCGACAAAATTAAAAGTAACGAGTTTCAAGTGAGTATCGCTCGTACAAATTAATTGAGAAGGAAATACACAAAGAATTACAAAAGACTCCTCCAATGTTAAGGTGGAAAAAGTAGAGGACGCCACAGCGATTATTCACGTAAAACTTCCTCTGAGCACCGAGCCGTTCTATGTATGCGCAAAACGACCGAAATACGAAAAGGAAAAGTTGGAGAAAGATATTATTCTGTTTAAGCATCAAGGCACTAAACCTTACAATGCTGTAAGCATATCTTTCTTTTCTCTCTGTCTCTCATCTCTTTCTCTGTACTACTTGTTCTATTTGTGCGATTAAAGTTTAACGTATGTTATTCAGTAGAAACAATTATTTATAGTTGAGGACTTTCAGATCCGCACGTACGACAAAATGCTGCCGCTCTGGGTTACTATCTGCATTATTCTCGTTTGTCTCAGTTTGTCCGCCCTTTTCTCCGGTCTCAATCTTGGTTTAATGGCGATAGATAGGACCGAATTAAAAATACTCGTCAACACCGGCACGGAAAAAGTAAGCAAACTTGTTTTCACATTTCAGCATTTTTATTTCCTTGTTTTTTTTTTACTTACGTTGCACTATTCGTATATTATAGGAGAAAAAATACGCGAGAACTATTCAGCCAGTAAGAAATCATGGAAATTATCTTTTGTGTTCGATTCTGTTTTCTAATGTTCTTGTCAATTCTCTGTTCACGATATTGTTGGACGGATTGACATCCGGAGTCGTCGCTGTTCTCTGCTCGACGGTAGCTATTGTCATTTTTGGTGAAATTACACCACAGGTATGTTTGCTATATAAATTATGTGAAAACTTTCTTTGCGTTCCTTTGTTCAAAGATCTAATTTAAATATGTAATACGTATGTTGCAGGCTATTTGTAGCAGGCACGGATTGTGTGTCGGCGCAAAGACTATTTATCTGACGAAAATAACAATGCTAATCACTTTTCCATTAAGTTATCCAATTAGCAAGCTTCTTGATGTTATTCTCGGCGAAGAGATTGGAAACGTGTATAACAGAGAACGCTTGAAAGAACTGGTCAAGGTAAAAAATTGAATGACTGAGTAGTAATAAAGTATATTAAGTTAGAACGTCTTGTGACATCTTAAAAAAAGACTTGTAGCTCTGTGGTAGCTTTCAATATTTAACAATCTTAATATTTTCATTCAATATTTAATCACCTAATTTTATATCGTTCAACGAGAGATCAGTAATGTTTATATACAAATTCAAATATCTTGTACATAAAAAAATGCTAGAAGAAACGTTGAAACTTGCATGAACACTTAAAATTGATATATTAATACTATACAGGAACCTTTCTAGGTAACGAACGAATACAACGATTTAGAGAAAGATGAAGTAAATATAATTGCAGGAGCGTTAGAACTGCGGAAGAAGACTGTAGCGGATGTAATGACCAGAATTGAAGATGTATACATGTTGAACTATAATGCTACTCTAGACTTTGAAACTGTATCTGAGATTATGAAATCAGGTACGATCGGCATTTTCAGTAAACCTTAATGACGTTCGTTTGTTTCTCTGTGTCAGTCGACGTGTTTCTCGTAGATATCAGCTTAATTAAGCACTTATTACAGATAAATCTCGCATTAGATAAGAATTTAAGTTTATCAAGGCTCGCTAGTTACATAAATTGATCAAATATAGGTTTTTATATTAATCTTATCGAGTAATGCCAAGCTTCTTGGATTAATGTGGCTGCTTTATTTATAGGTTTTTCACGTATACCGGTATATGAAGGTATAAGAACGAATATAGTAACGTTGCTATATATCAAAGATCTCGCATTTGTCGATCCTGATGATAACATGCCATTGAAGACGCTATGCCAGTTTTATCAAAATCCATGCAACTTTATTTTTGAGGATGTTACATTGGATATAATGTTTAAACAATTTAAGGAAGGTACATAACGATGGATATATAATTAAACTCGTCTTCTTGAGTAAATTTCTGAAAAATCAAATTTAAATAAATGCGTGTGTTTTTAGGACATAAAGGCCACATGGCTTTTGTGCAGAGAGTTAACAACGAAGGTGAAGGTGATCCGTTTTACGAGGTGATTGGTTTGGTTACATTGGAGGATGTTATCGAAGAATTAATTCAGGCTGAGATTATTGATGAGACAGATGTGTTTAGTAGGTTTTGTTTTATCGCTTATTTATTTTGCTGTGTTACTTTGCTTGCCGCAAAGTTTCCTCGCAATTGAAGATTCTTTTGAGTTGACGCGTGAAATTTGTAAAGCTTTTAACAGTGAATATTAATTCTCACAGCGGATAACAGGAGTAAACGTAAGAGGCAGGTTCGTGTGAAAGTGCCAACGGACTTTACTCTTTTCGCGGAGAAGAAGGAAAATCAACGAATTCATATCTCTCCACAGTTGACGCTAGCAATGTTCCAGTACTTATCAACAAGTAGGAACAAATATTCATTAATTTGTACAACGTTCATGGACATAGTTTGTAATGTTTGATTTGGAATTATGTTACGTTTCCAGCTGTGGACTCTTTTAAGCCAGACATTATATCAGAGACGATTCTGCGGCGTTTACTGAAGCAAGATATTATTTATCACATTAAAGTGAAGTCGCGCGAGAAAGCTAAAGCCGATTCCGCCGCGATAATTTACCAGCAAGGGAAAGCAGTTGATTATTTCGTGTTAATTTTAGAGGGTCGCGTCGAAGTGATGGTGGGGAAAGAGAATATGATGTTCGAAAGCGGTCCCTTCACATATTTCGGATCGCAAGCTCTCACTGCTAACATTGGAATGGGTAAGATTGAAATATATCCTGATGTAGAAAATTTTAAGCATTTGAAAAGAATGTATTTTGTTTCTAGCTGAATCGCCAACGAACGCGAATCCGCAGACAGTTGGAAGCATCCAATCTGTTAATTTGGATTCTATGTTGCGTCACACTTTCATACCGGATTACACGGTGCGCGCGGTGACCGAAGTATTCTACGTAAAAGTCAAAAGGTCTCTGTACCTCGCCGCCAAGCGTGCTACGCTTTTGGAAAGAAGCCACAAAGATCCATTGCCTAATGCTCAAGAACAGTTTGATGATGAAGTGGAAAAGGTTGCAGTTTATTATCTAAATTCTAAGATGGATTATAAGTGTCGCGAAGTTTTATGCCAACTGAAATAGGAATAACAGACACTTTTATTGATCCACAGTTGCTGCATTCTCTGGAGGAGGACGATCGCAGTGTACCTGAATCTCCGGTGTTTTCCGCAGACAAGACTACAGAACACGAAAAGGCGAAGGACGCGGTTACTCACTCGCCTGTACGCAGCGTAACGGCACCGACATCACCGTTGCCAGTCAGCGCCAGTCCGATCACCAATTCGAAATTCATCTCGCCGCGAAACGATGCAAAAATAAAAATACCAACAAAGGTATGTGCGCATTTTATATCTTTTTTCATCTTCTCGATTCAATGGCAAGATTATATTAAAATTATTTTGGTCGATTATAACTTACGGCGTGTTGTGTGTTCACTTCAGGTACAAACGAGTCCAGGAGAAGCTCAGGCTAAACGCGATTCGCTAAATACATTGGACGCAGATATCCTCGCCCGACAGTCAGAAGTAGCACGTGTGTCTGTCGCAAAGAAGGTGAACGACGATGAGGAACGAACAAATCTCTTGTCTAAGCAAGATCATTCTTAACGCTTGCAGAATGGCCGACGATATTCAGTTCTGTCGGCTACATCAATAACGTTAAAAGCATCGAGTAACACAGAGCGGAACATGCTGGCATGACACATTTTGCTACTGTGGCACTAGGTACTTCACGAATTATTTAGATATTTATCATGAGAGATACTTCATATTTTTAACAATTGGCTTAGAGGCTGTACCCGACTATGATTTCCGTAAATTACTATTTCAATTGTTTCACTGATATATCAAAAGTCATATTATTGATAGTTTACGTGAAGAAGAGAAGAATACATAATCGATTATTATCAGTAGCATTTAATAAGTAAGTAATGATAAAATTCAGATATACTCATGATTAAAGACTATTCTATCTCTTTAAAGCTTATCTAAGTATATGCGCTCGTATAAAGAGAATTGCTTTAGTAACGCGTTAGTTTTCTTCTTTAGGCAGGAAGAACTGCTTCCATTTTTGCAGTTGCAAATATATATATATATATATATATATTTGTAAATATATATATATATATTTGATATCGATATATATCCATATATATTTATATCAACGACTTTCTCTACCTTTTTTTATATCTTTTTTTTATATATTTCTAGATTTCAGGATTATATAATATATTCTATTATAATATTGTGTGCCACGATTATATATATCTCAATAGGAGTAAAAACAAATAGCATTACGGGTACAGTTTTTAGCTAATTCGAAGAAAAGTGATAGAAAATACGCTGTAATAATGTCTTGACATTATTTTGAATATATTTTAGTATGAAGATTCGTTAGAACAAAAATGTGTATAAAATCAATCATGCGATATCGAATTACTATTATATATACATATATCTATTAGAAAACAGTACAAATGAAAAATTTAACAAAGATTTGACGTACATCATTCAACAGTTATTTTTTTGAGGAACACAGAGATTTTGATTACTTACATTTCTTGGGTTATATGTGAATTTGAACTTGTATAATCGATGACTGAGATGGCCCAATTAGTGAGTAGAAGCGAGAAAAAGGCTTGGTACATAATTAATATAATTACTTGTACTCTTTTATTACGTGCCTTAAGAAATTGTCTATATAGGTAGTAATGTTGTGTGCTTAAAACAATTTTATTGGTCAGATTTCTGTCTCGTTTTTATTCACTTCGGAAACAGAAGTTTCTTTGGTTTCATAAACGTTAAATAGTTACATTCCTGTCATAACTGGTGCAGCTCATATACACTCGTACATCACTTTTCTTGCATTCATAAAAGAGAATTAAATGAGTGAAAGAGAAATGTACTGTTTTTCTTACGACATCGTCAAGATTAATACAGAGTAAGATTTTATTTTTTATTTACTTTGCATTTGATTTTTCCTTAGCGATAATTTAATCGGTCAGTTTTACTTCTAATATCGGTACTTAATTTAGCTACACAAGTTTAATGTGTTACAAAAATATTAATAGAGAATATAATTTAAAAATCTAAAAGCATATAATTATGCAAGGAAATATAATTATTCTTCTGTTAATGCTCAATAAGCTTTATGCATCAAGTACTTAATTTTTAGCTAAATTGCTGTAATCACATAAAAGTAACATATTGTTACAAGTGAAGATGATTAAATTTTTGCTAAAGAAAAATGATTGTAAGTTATGTTAAGAATAAGATTTTTCTAGTAGAGCATACCTTATTAGAGCGTTTAGCGTATTTGAAATTTAAAATATATATAAAATTTGCCTTCTATTGTACAATTGTCTAGCCCTAACTTTATAATTTTAGGAATGATTTAGGTGTCCACAGTTATATAGTATAAAGTCTCTTGTCATTCTGTAATATTGTTAACATTTCTTTGGGAATTTAATTTTCCCAAGCTGTTATTTTGTTTTACGAATCATTTCAGCGATGCGAATGTTGTACAATTTATATAATTTACATTGTTGTTTATTGATTGACATGTTAGATACATCAAAACGATGTGTAATAATGTGTAATTATTCAGTATAAAGCGTTTCTCGGAAAAGCAAATTTTTCTATGTATATACGAGATGATTCTATATTAGCAGACTGTGTAACGCATAGTAAAAATAATTAAAATAACAAATCAGAAAATATAAAGAACATGAGCAGAAATAAACTTAAAACGTTTTTGCGTAGTCTGTGTCTACTAATCATGAATCATCTTTACAATATTGAAAAAGCTTAATATTTTATTTTGGATTTTGTAGATATATATCGTCTATATATCGATTTAGAAAATGGTTACCTGACACTGTTGTCATAGCTCGGTCAAAGTACTTACAAGAGAGGAAAAATTCATATGAAAAGAATTGCGATAAATATTGCTAATATTTTGTACTATCGAAATCTAAATAGAAATATACGTAGAGAAGAAATATGTTACATCTAAAATTCGTAAAGCATTCTATTGCGGAATGATAAACTTAGGTACATAAAGGTACATTACAACAAACTGTTAGATAAAAAGTTAAAGTTACAGCGTGAAAAATAAATATGAACGTGACATTTTTTTACAGATGATTTACATAGTGTACGTGATATTGCGAATATAGAATCGTGTTAATGTGTACGCGTTTTTTTTTTATTTCCGCCATATTTATTAATATTTGTCATGCCTGTCATTTTTAGATATTAATTATAGATTTACTGCCATATGTTTAGTATGTTATGATTGTTACTCTTCGCTTAGTATACTTAGACTTGTTCTTAAATAAAATGAAAATTATTACAACTGACTAATATGATATGAAAGATTAGTTACATTTATGTACATAATATATTACAATTATATCAAAACTAGAATGTATTCCGAAGAAATGAAAGATCAAATGATTTAACGACTTTTATATCATTTTTTCTTTATAATTTCGACAATTAAGAGTTTGAGAATAACAAAGAGAGCCAATCTAATATGTGACAAAGTTTTATATAAATAGACACTTAATCATAAATATGTTTTTTCTTATATGTAGATTATATTGTCTTTATATACAATGTGTATATTAAATTTCATATTAATCATAATTTATCATACAAAATACTCGTTCTCCTTTTCATTTTTCGAATATTTTTATTAGATAGAATTATAAGATAAAATATCTAACAATTCCTGTAATCAACTTTCTGTATCCATTTTGTACAATAATCATGCGATTATATATAGATATATAATGTATATATAATCATTTTTTTATAAAAATGAAAAATATTTATTCAAATATACAGAAACGTACAATGTATCTATATTCTAAAAAAAAAAAAAAAAAAAAAATGAAGTATAGAAAATAAAAGATTTTTTGTATCTTATATACGTAACAAACAATATAAACGATAAATAAGTAAAACATCTTTTAAATACAAATTTAAATATATCATATAACTCTTAATTTTATTATTTCTTATAAAATTATAATTCTGCTCGTATAATTTTCTTAATTTCATTTAATCTTGTCATATTCAAGTCTTTTTTTTCTGTTATTAAATTTTGCAATACTGCTATTTTAGCATTTATGAATGCAGTTTTATCTTTCTTTGATGTTCTTTTTTTCTTAACATCTTGTGACGGACAATTAATAAAGTTTTGTATAAGGCACCATGGGTGATATTCATTTATTAATGTAATCAAATCTATGTTGATAATGGAAGAGCTTAATATTTTTTTGTTGATAGGCATTTTTACATTAAACATCTTTTCTGTAACTTTTTTCATGCAAAACGTATTGTGATTTTTAGAATGAAAAGAAAGTGCTACATGACTATTCTTAGGTAATTTTTCAGAGATATTTAAAATAAGATAATTATTATTACACAATCTGGATACCTCAATTTCAGGCTTTACTTGAAACTTTTGTTTAGAAGCATACAGATTTATTCTCCTTAGTTTATCTTGTTCATCCAGCAACCTTTTATTAAGTATATCTAATTCCTTTACTTTTGCACAAACTTGTTCCATAATAAAATCAGTTTTTTTAAACATGCTAGTATCAAGGTTAATATTATTATTAATTACTAAAGAATTTTCGAACTCTTCAAGAAAAAGTTCAACCAACTCTTTTTGTGACAAACCTAATATCACATTTGAATTGTAGCGCTGTATACAGCTAAATGTCCTTTCCTTCCCTCTTGTTTCTTGAACTACATCAGTAAAGAGTTCTTTTCTTACATAATATATCTGGGATTGATCACAGTACAGGATCCATAAAACATTTTCATTTTGTGGATTAAAGCCAGCGCAGAATGCAGAAATACTTTTCATTTTTCTCTTCAAATGTATCTTCTCGAAGACTAGATTATTATCTTTAGCATGTATCAAGATTACCTTGTCCATATCTGTGATAAGCAATAGACCTGCTGTCTTGTCATGCCGTTTTATGGGTATAATTTCCATAATAGTATTATTACTAGTATAAACCAATTGTACAGTATCTTCCTTTAATACAAACAATCTTCTATTGTGTGCAATTATGCACAGATTCTTCTCTGTTTTCCAGCCAACCGTAAAACAATTTACAAAGCACATCTCGGTATCTTTTAAGATTAGAGGGAAGGTGCATATCTCCTCAGTCGCATTTGGATCGATGGTAAACAATAACTTAGAAACTTTGGTACTTTTGTCGTCGATATAGATGCCATTCATTAAGACGGTAAAAACTTGAAAGTATTCAGCAGCTATGTCCAAAGCGTTCTTACTTAAACGAGCAAATCCGCCACTTCGTGACAATTTATAGGCTCCCTGCGGCATGCAAATCAAGAAGGCTCGATTGTCAAAGAATTTCATTTTCTTGACAGGACCTGGTGTCGACAGAATTTGTACATCTCGCGCCATTGAGCTGTCCATCGTATAGGGAAAAATGATGAGCTTGTCAACATTCCAACAAAAACATGTTTCCACGCCATAAAATTCGCACATGGCAAAATGTCTCGGCACAAACTCTTCATCGTCGATCGTGATATACATTTTTTTTATTCAGTCTTTTTACATTGATAAATAATATCAACAACACTGTATAAATTAGATATTTTTAAAGCATAGACCATTTGTGCCACTTGTCTTGAAAACTCTTCTCACAAGCAGCAAGAATGGAAGAGGTACCGCAAACCACGTATATGTGAGTTCCGCGCTTCGGCTAGCTTCGGACGCTAGAAAAGAGCAGACATACTCATTCTATCTTCTTTCTTAACGACCAAAAATGCTTTATTTTATCCTGAATTTTAAGAATGACAAGAGCATTTATCATCGGTACACTTATCATTAGCACTTACTATTAGTGGTTTCATCATGTTGCAACAGCTGACCAAAAAATGACACTACTCTCGTACGTGCTTTGTTTATCATGTGATCCTGTTAACAATTTTTCAAAATTCCGGCTAAAATGGAGCGATTCGGGCCGTTTCCAACGGATAATCTTAATTTTTCTACATGAGCTACTTCTTCTGGGCTACTTTTGAGAATGTTAGGATGCTCGTAAAATACTTAAATAATTAAAACGTCTCTTTTAAAATTTTTAGAAAGTTCTTTATTACAAAATTTAAAACAATTGTTAAAGAAATTAAAAACGACATCTTTTTTAAAACGTTTTTAAAGATGTTCTCTTTAAGACGTTTTTAGGACGTCTTTAAATGTTTTTATATTTATTATAGTTATTAGAAACCCTGTTGGAATAAGAATAAATAAAAAAACAAACGTTGGAAACACTGTCCTAAGGGTGCGTTCGGGGAGCGCGCTATCAGCGCTATTGTGTCATTTTATCCTTGTTTTATGTCTAATGAGCGATAAAGATAGAATGACGCAAATAGCGCTAATAGCGTTTCCCCGAACGCACCTTAAGTGTCAGTGATATTATGCGCGCGCATTTGGCGCGTACAGTTACAAGTGAGAAATGTTTATTAGAAATGTGAATTGTTGACTTTTAAAATATTCATACTTTTAAAATAAATTTATAGTATTGACAATAATTATATATAGATTTTATATTATAATAGAATAATGGGTAAGTACACTTTGTAAGGCAATTGGAATATATTTTGAGGTTATGGCATTGGATGTGATTACTTTTATTTGAATATTACAGCATTAACATTGATTAAATATAACCTATGCAATGTAATAAAAAGGTTTAAATTCGAGGAATTGGAGGACGCTGTAATGCCCATTTTTCCAGAGATATCTTGGTCTCGTATCAAGTCTAAATTAATTAAAAACCATAAGACCTTCAATGTTCATAATGTTTCACTCATTATCAAAGAAACTATCGATGTAAGAATCACTTTATTGCATTATTCATACATAAAATTTCAATTATTATGTTATTATCTTTATGTTTGGCTTGTTTACAGAATGTGAATTTAAGAGAAAAAGAAATATTTAACAGATTGACAACACTAGAAGTAATAGGTATAACAAATAATTTTTAATATTGAATTATTTATAGAATTTATTATATAATTTATATTTAATGTTAATTGATATTGAATAATGTATAATTTTTCAGATATAAGCAGACATAGTAATAGAAGGATATGGTATGCTTACGAGTTAACAGAATCAAATAGAGCAGAGAATTATCTTAAAAAACGGGATATGGAAGATAACATTAAAAATGAATTTCACTCAAATGGTTTAACCGTAGATGTAAAAACTACAAAACATGAAGATATTACATTTATAAATATTAAAGAAAATAAGAAAATAGCAAAACGCAAGATAGTACGACTTGACACATCAACTTTTTTTGCTTTTTTTTCGGGACATAAATACATTTTTTGTTCAAAAAAGAACATTTCATTTGATATTATGAAAATGATAGCTACTTGCATTGGTTATGACAATAATAAAAGGATTAACCTTATGGGTAAAGATCTGAAATCTTTAATAAGACTGTTACGGATTAAACAACAAGGAGTTTCACATGCTGAGAATATCAACCAAGCATCAGCTTATAAACCATCAAGTCCTATTGTCAAGTAATACTTTTTAAAGATATAAATTTTTTTATTTATGTTTATAGTTTATTATGTTTTGTATTTATATCTATATTATAACATATTTTATAATTAAATTAGATGAAATGTTTAACATATTTTCTAAATAATTTCTAAATAATTTTTATTCTTATTATAGAGATGATGGTATAGATTATATGCAGGATAAACAACGGAACAAATATGCAAAACAGTGTTTAGGCAAAGATCCTCCAACTCTAGAATTACTAGTTGTAAAAGCATCAAAGCAACCTATAGTGCATAAAGATCTAGCTTCGTTGTTACCTAATGAGACAATAAATGTGAGGTGAGAATATTTTTCAAGCTATATTTAAGATTACCAAAAAAATTGTACTTTTTATTTGTAATTGTGTTTATTTTAGTTGGGAATTTCGTAGCAAGAATGTATCCAAATTTTTGACTAGTTTGATAACGAGACGTGTAATTACGATGCCATTACCCGATTATGTAACTGATTTCGTGAAGATGGGGAAAAACGAATTAACACTTCGGGCTGACTGATATATTTATAGTTATAGCATAAAAATTTTTGCAAATGACAAATAACAAAATAGTAAGTAAATTAAAAATTTAAGTATAATACTTTTCATAAAGAGAGAAATTCATAAAACTTATTTTTTCATAAAAATTGAGAAATATCATGTTAAATTTTTTATTATATAATTTGTTATTACATAGAAATGCCATTAAAATCTTTTTTATTCATAAAGTATGTTCCTTAAAACTTCATTCAGTAGCATACTTATATCTTATATGCTATTTTACATAGTGCTCATTTGTGTTATATTTATAATATTCAAATTAACCAGGTTTTATGTATTAGATAATTATAGTATTATAGTAGAGATATTAGATATTATATTCTCAATACATATATACTTATCATTATCTTGTGTATTATGTGTATTATCATTGTTCTTTACTGTATTTTCAGTTGGATATTTTATTTTCTTCGTCAGATGGTTGTATTTTCAGTTGGATATTTCATTTTCTTCGTCAGATGTTATATCAGGATCATTAGCTTGTGCTTGGCACTTGTTGCAGTGACAGACAAACAAGTACAAAGAACTCAAAGCCTTCTGTCTAGAATGTCTACTTCTTTCGAGCTCGCATTCATCAAGATAGCTCGTACAGATTTCCTCCTCAATTTGTATATCACGTATTGCTTTCAATACTAATGTATTATTTGAATAAGGAAATTCAACAATTGCATTTGGCGTACAACTATGATTCACTGACGATTGTAGAAAGTAGAGACCAGATCCTTCATTGTTTAAAAACGAACCTACCACTGTAAAAGAAATTTCTGTTACGTAAATAATTAAATATTTAAGATTTAAAAGATATTGTAAATTACCTTCTTCCATTTCGTCATAAATCCTATCTATCAATTTGTCAATGTAAATTCTTTGATCCTTGGGTAAATCTAAAGCAGAAACATTCTTCACCCAGCGACTGAATGCACTAGTGCCAATTCCTTGACCATTTGTTCCTACTAAAGCTAATAAACTTCTAAAACCATCTGGTGTAAACCACTAAAAAACCATATTTTTTAATTATAATTATATATATACAAAAATAGAGTACACACACATACTTACATGTGCAGTATATTCAGTATTAAGAGCCTTTTGCATCATTTGTCGAAGAACATCAATCTGGCCCACAAATTTTTCTCCTAACAAATTATGCACAATTTCATGAGTGTGGTTTGTAGTACGATGACAAAATTGCGAAAATGTTGATAAAAGATCTAGTTTTACATCTGTTTGATTAACCATGGCAACCATTCTTGCCAGCAACATAACTGTTGCAGTCTCAGGTGGATAATGCATTTGTTTCCATGTTTCATTTAATTGAGTGAGCGGATGGCTCTCATCTTTAACTCTTGATTGTGGGCATAATATACTGTGATACCTAAAATATACATATAGCATGATGATATACATGATGAAAGCTATAAAAAAAATTACGCAAGTTATAATTACCTTTGAAAAGCTTCATTCTGACATTCTATACAACAATATTTGATTCCACATGCAGGACATTCAGTTATTAAGTTTTTATTTGTCTCACAGCACTCGCTATGCGGCAGTATAATATTTGGATTGTTTGTCAGTCTCTGAGCATTTTCCTCAGCGGTCTCTAGTGGTCTCAGACAATTGTCACATGCTAAATATCCATAGTCAGAGTTCCATGAAAACTGACAACAAACTATGGGTTTTTCTTCAAGTATTATATCCCCTTCCTTGAATACACGATTAGACAGTAATCCTTTACCCTATAATATATGAGTATATAAATTAGTATTTTATATTGCATAAGTATATTATCAATTATAACTGACAGAAATCTTATTGATTAAATTGTACAAAAACTTTATGGTGAGTCATGGGGATGATATGTGGAAATAACCAAAAATATATATACTTTACCTTCTCGTTGTTCACTATTCTGATATGAAAGTCTTTGCCCTCCATAATTGTTAATTATATAGCGAGCCAGAAAGCTAATAAACAAAACTATTGAAATCTTTTTAAATTCTAATGCATAAACACATGTCGATGATTGCCATGAATGCTGTCACACAGATATACTACCGAAGTCAAATCACTTTTACAATTCGCGCAAACAAAATATATATTTTCTCTTCAAACTTATATTTTCATGCAATATATATGAAAATAAATATTTTTTAAATATATTATTAATGTAAACATTTACATTTATCATCGTCAAATATCGTGATTCTAAACTTTCTATAGAGAAGCGTCGTAGCGTGTTTCTAGCACGAGCATTTCCGCAAAGAAGTGTATCGGTTGTGATTCGCCGTGTCTCGCGAGCTTTCAAGAATTTCTGGGAAGTCCTAGATTCTCGTCTGCTTCGGCGGTTCTTATAAGACGATGAACGGAACGATGGCCATGGTGAGCAAATCTTTCGACGTAGCAGAGTATCGCTTTTATCTCGAACGGCTATAACTAACCCTTCGCAGCGTAATGGCGGTCATAAAGATTTTTTACGTAGCCCAATAATTATAATTGCAGCATATAAATTTCGTACATAGCTAACGGAATGGATTACAGATTATCTCGATTAAATAGCTGCTGTGTAAAAAAATATGAAATGTGGAAGGCAATGTCAATTTCATGGGATTTATGAAACGGACGAATAAACTGCTGTTATTGATCTTTTATATGCTAGTTCTTTAATGCGACCAATTCTAACATGTACACTAGTAATTTGTTGTTAATTAAGAGTTTAATTGGTTGTATTTCTTGTTTTTTTCTTTGTGTTTATGTTTAGCAGTAACCAATAATAATTTTTAAGTAATGTTTCATTCTATTTGTGTCAACACTATGTTTATTGTTGTTTGTTTTTGTTTATAGGCACCAACATCACAAAATAATCTGGAGCCACCAGCAAAAAAGAGCAAAGTAGAAGGTAAATTGCTAATGCAGCCAAATAGTCATTATGCCTGTAATAACTAAAAATATTATACACATAATTGTGTTAGTGGACAACACAATGAACACAGAAACAACAGCAAGTGTAATATGTATCTATTAAGACCGAGAACATGACAAGGAAATACATACAATAGCTACTTAGGACACTCAGGTGCTAGCTTTCTCTTAAAATGCTGCCAGACTATAAAACTGCAGAATGCGTCTGTTCAGAAGCAGTTTGAGCATAAATTTTGGTAGGCTAGGGTAATAGATGATGACTGTATGGCGCTTAAATCACACTAATGTATGGTTGTCCTTCTGTTCTGAGATGTTACAGCGGAGAGACAGTACAGAATCCGTGGCCTACGACTGAGCTGATCATGAGCGTGCGCCAAACAAAGAAAGAGAACGCTACATTCGTTGAACAGAACAAATCTGAGTTTAACAAACTCCCACTGATACTGCATCTCTTGTCGAGTACCAAATATGATGCATACTTTAGATAGGTCAGCATTTTAGGGTTTAGAGTTTTTTAAATCCTGATTGTGAGCCTCTGTTATGTATGAGCAATATTTAATCTTGCGAATGAACAACGATAAATAGTTTTCTTTCTTTATTGATATGTGCAAAACGTTGCATTTTAATGTATATGATTATCTTATGGAATTATATTAAACATAGTAGTCTACCTTGCGAATCTCAAGGTATCTAGAGGCTCATAACCGGGAGTGGCAATGGCGAAGGGTGTGTACTAAATTTGCCATGTATGAAACATCAATTTATATCTATGTTAGGTGATAATGAAATCGAGAAGTCCCAGCACTTGGACGTCGATATAGCCAATGATGTTGCTTAAAGATTGGTTTCAATCCCTCTTAATGTGACTTGAATACGTAGTGTTCCTGTCTGTGACTTTACAGCTTCGTCTTCTCATTTTGTTTTGCCATTGCTACGTGGGACACGCTATTTCGAGGCACGTTATAACGATGTCCGAGTGTATGTAGGTGATGTACCTGAAAAATAACATCAAATATGATCGAGGATAAAGGATAATGGAATTGTGTGATATAATTCCTTAACTCACTCAGGAATTGCTGTAATTCTATTAATATTAATAGTGGAAAAAATTTTACGTATCTGCAATGATTAAGATCTCGCCATTGCTACATGAAACATGTTAGGTTGAGATGTGGTAGGTTGGAGAAGGCAAAAATTAAGAACATGGCGCAGAAAATGCACTGAGAGTATTCTCCTTTGCTTTGTGCTTACAGATTTGTGCGTCGCCTCAATCTCGGATAATTTGCGCACAACCGTCATTGCTCAGCCCAGAACACGGTTAGCTGTAAATCGAATAATCGAACAAAACTTTTAATTCACGAAAAGTCGAACTGACTTCTGTTTTCTGTTTCTGATTTCTGTTTCAGAGACTAGCAGACCAAATTGGTTATGAAACCTAATCTAATTATGAATAGTCTGATTTTTGGGGCTGATATTGTGCAAACAGTAACTAAAACTAAAATTTAATATTTTTTCGGCTAATGGCTAATTTTATCGGTTTAATGCATACTTCGGAATAATGTTCGGGCAATACAATTTCTCTTACTAAGTCGTTGTGTCGTTTCTGATAAAATTTCTTATCTGTGGTCTTCGAATCTACGCTTTGTTTCTTCCAACAGCATGCATCAAACGAGAAATATTTCTCTGTTTTGATGTTTGCACAAACATGTGGTTTTCATATGTATGTTTTGCATATTTATCTCTATAATACATTCGCACACACGCCGACACACACACAGACATATTTATTGAAAAAGATGTAATATTCCTTGATCGTTTTAATTTCTGTGAACTTACAGTTTGGAGGACGGTTTTATCATAGCAGCTTCTGGCACAGCGTCACGGTACTCCCGTGTTAAGAATGATATTCCACAATACGAATAAGACTAATGCGTCTGCATACATCCCAATGCGACTAATAGAAGTTTTACTAGCCTAGGGCGATAGGTCAATCTGTTATATATATATATATATATATATTTATGAATGTGTACATATATATATTCCCATTTGATTGGTCATCCAAGACCAATTTTTGATTCTTGAGATATTAACACTTATAGAATTATATTATTCATTAAAAATTTTTACAAATTTGACTATAAAATTATGAAGTGACAAAATTCTTTCAAATTGTGTAAAATATAAAGGCCACCCAACAAAGGTTTGCTAAGGAAAACACAATCCCTAATCTGTCAATTATAAAGAGCAATGCAATAGCGTAACTCATCTATTTAAAGATAAAATGTTTGAAATATTTTTAATATTTAATGCGAAGAAATGTTTAACATAGAATTTCTTTGTAGGAAGTGCATCAGAGTTCTTACCAGGCCCTATATATGATCTCAATCAAATAGGCCAGGTTGTTGCTGGTACGTGCAATATAATACACTATATAAATGTATCTAAGTATATTTTTAATTAATTCGATTCGTCTTAAACATACTTGTGCAAATGATGTATTATATTAATAGTGACATTATTTTTCTTAGTCAATCCAATTTTAAGTAATATTGAGTATTGACGCGAATTTAAATGGACATCTTGCTGATAAGATCTGATGCGAATAAATATTCTTGGTTGCCTTGAAATATTGATTTTGGTTTAATCTAATTTATACCATTTTCCATTTTTTAGGACCTGGTGCTAAATATCTAACATTACCTGGGATATTAGGAGCTGGCCTACCGAAAATTTCATCCGAACAGCAGGATACAGTAAATAGGGCGAAGAAGTATGCGATGGAGCAAAGTATCAAGATGGTCCTCATGAAGCAAACATTGGCCCATCAACAACAGGTAAATTTTTATATATCAAAGTTAATATCTTTATCCACACATCTAATGTTGTATTCATTCTATTGTAGCATTCTTAAAATTTAACTTTATATGATTCTGAAATATAAACAATTATATTTAATATGTGGAACTTTTTAAAATCATAAATTTTTCAAATAATTTGTTAATTATAAGAATGCACAATGAATGAAGAATAGTGAAATCACCGAATTTGTTGAGAGATAAAAATAACTTTGATGAAATTATTAAACTTTCTAGCTATTAAAACAGCTATTGAATTTATAAACTAATAACATTTGCTTCAAAATATTTTTTCAAATTTCCGTATTTTGTAAATGAATATTTGGTGTGCCATTTTTTGTTTAGTGAAATCAACCAATTTGGTGATTGACTTTAACGAGTAAAGTTTTTTCACACTTATTATTTTTATATATAAACTGTTTCCTCTGTTCAGCTCTTTACCAATTGTAATTTAATAATTAAAACAATTTTATACATGGTTCTGAGATATTTAATGTATAGCTTATCCTGCCGAGTCGTGTTAATCATACAGAAATTAAGAAAAACGGAACCTAATAATTCTGATCGGTTGATTTTTTTCTCCCTGCAGAAAAATAAGTTGGTCCTACGGCAGCAAGTTTTATTGCTTATGTGCAGGTTAGTGTTATCCAAATTAAGAAAGAAACAATGAATCTGTCTTACGAATCAGTCTTACGAATCAGTCTTACGAATCAGTCTTACGAAGAGTCCTAAATGTTTCCATAAGTTGCTATCATAAGAGTAGGTTAGATAATTGTGATAATAGTCGGCGGAAGCAGAGCTGCACCAAGGAGGACCAGTTTTTGTGTCTGCATGAATCTTCAGATGAATTGTTCTTCTGAGCTCGACTATTCTTTTACTTCGACGTATAAGAATGGCATCAAAACTGTACTTTAAATTTACTAAAGCATTTAATACATGAAGAGGACAGGGCAAAGATAATTCTGGAAACATTCTGCCTATTTATATCTCAAAGTAATAATTTGCTTTATGTTGCATTTTTATATTATATATTATCATAATTTACACATACAACTTTAAAAAATTAGTTTCAACGTACCAACATCCGTAATTTTCTATTATTTTTTAATTTCCATGTTTTTATATTTTAAATTCTACATTTTTTTAAAGAAAATTTATCAGATTTTAATCAATTACCGAACAGTCGAGCAAAGAAATAATTGGAATGGTAAAAGAGCTTGAGGGATTTCTTAAAATTGACTTGGTATATGTAAATGGGGGAGGGATATCAATAGAAGGCCTCTTGGTCCTTTGTGTTACAGCAAATGGCTAGTCAACGGAATCAGGTTCAACGGCAGCAGGCACTCGCGCTTATGTGCAGGTTTGTTTGTTCTTTGTCTTAGCCCTCGAATTCTCTGTGTACAAGATCTGATTACAGCTACAATTATAATTTAAAGATTATATATTAGTTCTATTATATTTTTTAAGATAAACACACTTTCTTTAATCATTTTTTTATTTATGGCGACTAAGTATTAGTAAAATATACTAAATTTAAGAATATTTTATATTAGATTTTACCGTTTCTATTTTTAAAATCTATCAATAAGTTTTTTTGCCAAATTGAGAAATCATAGAAATTCGTTTACTGTTGCTTTCAGTGTGTTATTCTACTAAATATTTTATAACAAGCATATTGTTATTCTTTCACATACATATGTCTATTCAATGCATCATTCATAATTCTTTTACGATATCAGTATATTAAGTTTTATGAATAATTTTTATTTTATTACAATTATATCATGATAAATGATTCTTCTTTAATCATATAACTCACACATTTTTCATACACTAATTGTATTATTCGTATATTAATTTATAATTTTATGAACAATTGAAAAGATTCTTAAGTCAAATTATAATTTAAGAAATATAGATATTTCATATTTTCTTTTTTTATTATGGAAAAAGATATTTTAATATTAGGATAATATTAAGTAGATTATACTTTTAATAACACGCTTGCAAAATTTTATTTTTATTTTTGCACAATAATTCTTCACACAATACTCGTTTTTAGATAATTATATTTGATTTTAGTTATTAATATTGCGAGTTATATCAATTAAATAAGTTGACGCGTATTTGATTTTAGTATCCAGGATATAATATATATGCGAGACTGTTTTACTTTAAGTTTGTTTTATGTCACTCATACACAATTATTCTGACGTAAGTGACTGATATGTGAGTTCAAAATAATACAGTCCAATATTGTTATAAAAAAAAAAAACAGTTAATTTAAATAATATTGACATTAATAACAAATATTATACAACAGGGTTTATGTGGGCAGCATCAGTTTTGAATTGAAAGAAGACACGATCAGACAAGCCTTCTTGCCATTCGGACCAATCAAGTCTATCAATATGTCTTGGGATCCTGTTACACAAAAACACAAGGGATTTGCTTTTGTTGAATATGAGATACCTGAAGCCGCGCAACTCGCTTTGGAACAAATGAACGGTGTCATGATTGGTGGCCGCAACATCAAGGTAGCGGGACGTACCTATATAACGAATTTCCTGTCCCCCAGCAATCCTATCATCCCGCCGGAGGTCGGCAAATTTTTATTTAGTTCCTTTATCCAATATCCTTTATCCGATGATTCTCGAGCGAAATGTATTTTTGAACTTTATTTTGCTCGAAAATCTGATTAATTCATACTGTATCTTATTATATCTTACTTTGTAACGATGATTCCCAGTTCATCTTTTTATTGAGTTATTCTGTCGTACCCTATGTTGTGTATTTATTTATTTAATAGATGACTTTACAATAATGTTGATACGGGAATAGAGAAATTATGCATTACAGATTACGCTTTTCTCATATTTTTCTCAGGTTGTAGGACGTCCGTCCAATATGCCTCAAGCGCAATCTGTGATCGATGAGATAACCGAGGAGAGTAAACATTACAATCGCATATATATAGCGTCGATACATCAAGACTTGACGGAGGACGATATTAAATCCGTCTTCGAGGCGTTTGGGCCGATAACGTACTGTAAGCTTGCGCAAGGCAGCTCGCCGCACCGTCACAAAGGTTACGGTTTTATTGAATACGAGACAATGCAAGCGGCATTGGAGGCTATCGCCTCCATGAACCTGTTCGATCTGGGCGGTCAATATCTAAGAGTAGGTAGAGCGATAACACCACCGAACGCGCTTATGGGGCCGCCTAGTGGTACCAGCATGATGCCTACCGCGGCTGCAGTGGCTGCGGCAGCTGCAACAGCAAAGATTCAAGCGATGGACGCTGTTGCTAGCAATGCCGTTGCGTTGGGTCTCACAAAACTTGGAGCCACCGCACCACCGATTCTGAATCAAGGTTTGTAAATTCGAGCCTTTGCATTTACATTTTCATTATAATTTTTCTTTATATATTTACTTAAATGCTATTATAGCACTACCAGGCGTACGGCCTACTATTGCACCCGCAACAATGATGGCACCACCAACAGTAGCGACGGTGGCACCAGTAATACCTCCACCTGGCATAGCTATACCGCAAACCTTAACGCGACCACCAGCCATCATCCAACCAATCCCCGGTCAACCAGTAGTCATACCACCTCCCGCAGTTGTCGCTCCTACGATCGTCGGCACACCAGTTGTAAGTATCTCGCCTATACCGATTATTGAATTGTCTCAATATGTTAATTGTGAAAATCGAATTCTTCTTAGATACCGGTTACAACAACCGCAAATTCCGATATTATGAGGCGAGCGCAGGAACAAGCAGCTCATCAGAAACAACAGGAGGAGCTGCAGAAAAAGTTGCTAGAAGAAACAGAACCACAGACGTTACAACAACAAGAAAATATGTCGATCAAAGGACAGAGCGCGCGTCATCTCGTCATGCAAAAACTTATGCGTAAAGTCGAGTCCCGAGTTGTTATTTTGAGAAACATGGTAGCACCGGAGGATGTAGACGAGACTCTCCAGGAAGAGATTCAGGACGAATGTTCCAAATTTGGTGTGGTCGAACGAGTTATTATTTATAAGGAGAGACAATCTGAAGACGACGAAAATGCCGAAGTTATCGTGAAGATATTCGTCGAATTCTCTCAAATGAGTGGTAAAGTATATTTTGCATGTATATATAGTGTCTTGGATTGATCTAAGTCTGGATATTTCTAAACCATGCATACGTATGCATATATTGATATAATTATTGGTCTGCTATTTAATGTTTGCAGAAGCGGAACGTGCAAGAGATTCGTTAAATGGTCGTTATTTTGGTGGACGATTAGTTAAAGGAGAACTATACGACCAAGCCCTATTTGACAATAGTGATTTTTCCGGTTGATGCGCAGAGTTGTTGACATTTGGCGTACGTTTAGTTTCTACCAATTTCATATAAAGAAAAATGTTGAAAATTGACTGACAGTTTGGATTATACTGTTTAAACTACTATTTATAACAAAATCTTACAATTATTGAACAGTAAAAAGCAAAAGTCAAATGCGTACTATATCACGGTTCTAATAATAGGTTCGTCGTAGTGATTAAGATACAAAAAGTAGGGACTGCATAGTGCAACTTGCGGAAGGAATGAATTTGGATCGATCAAATGTGATTTATATCTAATATATACTCATAAGTTTGTTTTGAAATTTTGTAATTTCATTATTTGTTCCGTATCGCGATCACATTCGAGTGCAGTTGCAAATTAGGATTTAGAGACGTATTCTCTCAAGAGACGAGTATTTCGTATACTTACCTATTATGTAGTATTGTATAATTTCAACATCAAATGATATTGATTGTATATGAATGCGATGTCTTAATTTACATGTATAGGAATAATAGAATATTAATAAATCGTTTTACATATAACAGTTTTAGGATTTGTTATTCAATTTGTACGTTTTTTTTTTTTTTTTTTTTTTTTTTTTTTTTTTTTTTTTGAGATCCCAATATTTCACATTGTTTTATTAATTGCATTACTATAAAGTAATTTACAATTTTGTCCTATAATTATGTAAGCAGTATCTTAATTGGTTCAATGCTAATTACTATTTACTTATATGCATCTTTTGGTTTATAATCGCTACCAAAGTTTTTGTAATCTTCATAATCAGGAAAATTTCCAGGAGTCACAGTTTGAGAAACAGATGAAGTAGGAAGATCTTTGGTAGATTCATTTTTAGAATTCTCTATAAGTTTTGCAGCATTTTGTTTTTTAGTCATTGCTAATTTGTAATTAGCTTCTATTTCCTCCCGTGTAGGTGGATCCTTTCTGCGGTATCTTAACCAGGATTCCCATTCTGCAGGCTTCTCTTGTTCAAAGTCATCTTTGTTTACTGGTACGAAATATCGAGGAGGCCTTTTCCGACTTGAATATCGAATCTCTTCTTCGTAATATTTTGTGCCATAATAATCTTCACCTACTAACTTGCGACGAAAATATTGAGGTTTCAGTGAAGATATGAAATTTTTCCAGATTAGTTTGAAGATGCCACGTTCTTTAGCCATATTATCACTGCAAGAAATAATGATTATAGATTTTCAACAATTTATAAATATATTGAAGAACATAAAATATATTTAATATTAAACAGTAAAACGGTAAATAAAAAAATATTGAAAATCTAGAGAATACTACATTTCAACAGATCATAACCTCAAAACAGTATTTATTTAGATATAAATAATTTCTAACAAAATAAATAATTCTTTCAAGCAGATTATAATTTTACGATGCAATCTATAATTAATTTAAATTAATGATATTTTACCGTTTATCAGGTTTATAAATAGTAGAGTTGTGACTTTTAGGTTAGAATAAGCCTAAGGTTAAATAAGATTTTTTTGTCCAAAACAAGGTCAGTTTTCAATGCATAAAACTGTAGTAACTTTGGAAATAAAATTAGTAACAATCTTTTTATAGGATTGGCTATACTGAAAAATATTCTGCCATTCGCGAAGAACAAAATGGCGGACGACTGCCCTCGTCCCATTGATCACGGCACTGGTTACTCGACACATACGTCATTTCCAGGCGTGGTGGAGCGCGTCTTGTATACGCACGAAAAGATGCGGGTGTGTGTGCATATGTGAGTATAGTCACGCAGTGTATTGGTGAACGGTGCTGAAAATGGCCGTGCATAACTCTGCGGCAGAGTTTAGCGATCCTCGCGAGAGATAGTTCCCGTGCGTGTCACGACAAAACGCAATCACACGCGCGTGTGTAAATAGTGTATTGCCCTCTCTCTCCCCCCGATGGACAGATCCCGTGAAATGAAACGTGTAACGTTGACCTGATAACGACTACATTCCGGCGGATTTCACAGTGGTACAGCGCGGGGGAAAGCGAGCAGCGGTGTCGTGTCCAGGATCTTGAGACGAGCACTTTATCGCGCAGTAGGTAAGTAAAGAGCGGAACGGGCGTTCACGCGAATGTCCGCAAATCTATTCTCGCTCTCTTATCGATAACGGGGATTAGTCGTCGCGCTCGGTCCGCCCTCAAGTTGCACGCAAATCGTCGTCTCGGCGGAGTCGCCTGAAGCGAGAGCGGTACGGCGCCTCTCTCTCTCCACCTGTGTCGAGAGGTCTGTTCACTCTACTTGCATTTCTCTACGTTTTCCGCATCTGAAGTGAAATTTTCTGTACTTGTACTTTAAATGGAGAGACGGAGAAAAGAATTTGTAGGTAGGTGTGTGAACAATACAGCTGCACAATCTATAGATTACATCCGTCGACGATGTCTGACGCGACGCAATCTGGCGAACGGTCGTCGGCGATGATGACCGTCTCTCGCACGTCAACGGCCGTGCGTACCCCGATTTTCCGCGGCGCGGTGTGTCTGGGGCGTGTTCGTACGAGAGCTAACCGCTTTCGCGAGCGGTTGCATTAGTATGTAGGAGTCGCGGAGTAGAGCGGAGCAGAGAGCAGGATTTTCGAAAATCGGTCGTGCGGCGCTTTCGCATGGCGACTGCATCTGCAGCGGTACAGACGTGACCTAAGGTTACTTGTCAAAATTGTGTCAAGCCGCGTGACCGGACATCAACACCTGTCGGTGATTTTTGTTCGACCTTTCTTCCTTTTTCTCTTCTTCTCTCTCGTCATCGCACGCTTTCTTCGTTTACTTATCGCCTGTTACGCTGTCGCGTTCGCGAAACAGCGGATTTCGCCGCGAAATGCGTTTCCGTGATAATCGCTTTACCGCGAGATGCAAAGGCGATCCGAGTGCAGGGGCGACATCGATCAGGAGTGGCGGCGGCCGACAGATCATTTCGTCGTGCTAAAAAGGATTATCGCGAAGCAGAACGCATTTCGCTTCTTACATGCGTTTTTTTTTCGCGCGTGTGCGTTACGGTCGCATCGGTATTCTGATTAACGCCTAATCGAATTTTCCGTCTCCCGAGCTGACCAGACGTTTTGCAAGTCCTGCTGCCCACACAAAATGCTTCTACCAGTAAGGAAATACTCTGCAATCGACACATTTGCCGCTTCTTCTTTTTCTCTTGGAAGGAAACACTAAACCGTGTAAAATATGCTGGCGTCTCGCTTTTGCGCTTTGAAAGTCTGATTACAGCATTGTTTATGTCTACATGTTAAAGAGAATGTAGAAAAAGATATAGTAGATTGCTAATTTGAATAAAAAATGCAAATTGCAAATTGCAAATTTGTAACAAGAACAGAAATTTTTATGTTATAAATTCTCAAAGAGAAGTATTTATGACACATTCCTTCATACGTTGTGACAATACCCTCCATCACAGATAGTAAATTTTTTTTAGCTTATCAATGATATCTGCTCTAACTTTATTGCCTTATCTTACATCTGTAATTTATAATGCACATGTGTATTATTTCTCAACAAAATTGTTCTTTCTAAAGAACTTTATGCGCACATTTATTAGAACTTTGTACATGCCACATTTAATTTCTGGTTCTCAACCAGCATAAACATGGAGATCTTGTCTGATAGAATGTTGTTCTACTGAGTCTGTCCTAGTTTTTACAATCAATGGCATTTCAACATTATGCACTATTATTAGACTGTTAGGAACAAATGTATATTATTGTTATATATTATGCTAATTAGAAAATGTTCTCAAATCTTTATAAGAACAAGTATAAAGTATATTAGAAAAATGAATTAATAATAGTATTATTAGTAGACATTTGGTGATGTAATAAATTGTGTTTTTTCTGTTTCAGAACTTGATTCAATATTCATTGCGCGTATAATTATTGAAGATTATCAGCAATGGGTCGCCCTCTTCGTATCTATGCTCACAACAGTTTGAACATAAGAATAATCAATTAAGAAGTGTAACTTTGAGTTTACAAAGATGCGGGAGTGGTGTGGCACGGTCCCCTGGTATCCAGCAGGGATCTAAAAGATATTTGTGCTTAAAAAACTTATCTTGATATTAAAATATAATGTCAACTATGTAAAGTGACATTCTCTTACATGCACCATATATCATAGTGCTGAGGAATAATGGTTACTAAGCTCTTTTGAGCACTAAATAAAGTTCTATTTTATTATAAATTTAATACACAATTGTTAATACCTACATTTTCTAGTGAAGAGTGTTGTTGAGAGTTTACAGTGCGTTCAAATTGTAATAATAGTCCATTTTGAGTGTACGTGCGATAATATCAAAGTACAACTGCCAAAATGTCGTTCTTATCGAATCTGAGGAAAGCATTCCACTTCGGTGGTAATGATGCGAAGAAGAAGAAGTTGTACAACAACATTAAAATGGACTGTAATCCAGAGGAGTTTTGGGAGATGGTGGGTGAATTGGGAGATGGTGCATTCGGTAAAGTCTACAAGGTAATATTGTTCAAAGAAATCCTGTAAAAAATACTATTGAGTTTTGGTCTATTATATATTACAAAACGATTGTCGCTATATATTTTAGGCGCAGCATAAGCAGTCCAACTATCTTGCCGCTGCAAAAATGTGTGCGTTGGAGGGAGAAGATGATCTTAGCGATTTTATGATCGAGATAGATATTTTGTCAGAATGCAAGCATCCCAATATTGTTGAATTACACGAAGCCTATTTCGTCGAAGGAAAATTATGGGTATATTACTTTATTCTTGCAAAAGTATTTTTAATTCAGTTTATTGTTCTTCCGTCTGAAAGTTCTTTCGTAATAAATTAAACAATAATTTCTATGATGTAATTAAGTAATTACTTAAAACACTTTTACAGATGTTAATTGAGTATTGTGATGGTGGTGCTGTGGATTCCATAATGGTTGAATTGGAAAAGGCACTGACAGAAATGCAGATAGCGTACATATGTCAGCATATGACGAAAGGTCTTGCCTTCCTACACAAATCTAAAGTTATACACAGGGATTTGAAGGCGGGGAATGTCTTACTGACTATGGCAGGTGGTGTTAAATTAGGTAAGTATTTAAAACCAGGCTTGAATACTTTAATATATCTTGAGCATCGTATATAATAAGTTTTTTATTTTTAATTGCAGCTGATTTTGGAGTATCTGCAAAAAACAAGCATACTCTACAGAAGCATGATACGTTTATCGGTACTCCTTATTGGATGGCACCCGAAGTTGTTTTGTGTGAAACATTTAGAGACAATCCTTACGATTTTAAAGTAGGTACTTGATATATAAATGTATCTCTTGGACTTTTTGCTCTAATGTCAAACTATAAATGTCAACTCGATTGTTTTAGGTGGATATCTGGTCTCTTGGTATAACTCTTATAGAGTTTGCACAAATGGAGCCACCGAATCATGAAATGTCACCGATGCGTGTGTTACTTAAAATACAGAAAAGTGATCCGCCGAAACTGGATCAGCCTGGGAAATGGAGTAAGGAATTTAATGATTTTATTGCTAAAGCACTTATAAAGGACCCGACCACACGACCCACAGCTGATGATTTGTTAAAACATCCGTTTATAAGCCGAAATTTAGATCCAAAGCCTGTCAGGGACTTATTACTTGAATATAAGGCAGATGTTGTCGAAGAGGAGCTAGTAGATGAGGAAGCAGAGGTAGGTTTTATTTTTCTTCTTGTATTCCACCTCTAATTCCTTATATACATGTTAATTATGCAGAATATATGCAAAAGAAGTAACATGATGATTATAAATCGATAAAACTGAATATAATAATGATATGAATATTCATAATAAGAAAAATACATATTGCGTACTATACAAGCACATATTCTTTGCATGATTCTTGAATTAAAATCTAATCATGTGCTTTATACGAATTGCAAACATTCTAACATAGCGTGTTTCTCATATTAGTTTACTATAGTTGCATTAAAATTGCACACACGATTTGCATACTTGATTTGATATCAGAATTTTAATTTCCTTACGAAGAAATTTATTCTTTCGCGAAGAAACGCGAAGGAGCGTTACGTCTGAATCCAATAGCATGGTAGATATCAATAGTCACACATAGAGTTTTTTGACCATGCAGAATTAACATGTATTACACATTGTTACATGCTTCCATTATTATAGAAGGCCAAAAAAACGAAAAAACACAGAGAACAATATCAGCGAATTGGTAAGCTGCTTCTGGGTGAAGCATATATGTCTCATTTGCCCCTGTCCATTCGTAAAATGGCGAGATATAAATTGTTAAGATGTTGTCGATCAACTGTTGAATTAATTAGAACCACTAGTTTTGACAGATGTTTACAAAGAATCAAGAACAATTTAATTATTAATAAGTTATAAGTCCCTTGAATAAGATAAACGTGATTGTTCGTATTTATATGTGAATACGCATGGTATAATTGTCATTTGAATTTCACGATAATGCATGTGTTTAAAACTAAATATTGGTTTGTTATACCAATTCTGTTTTTCCTGTTCAGTCACAACAAGAGAATAAATGATTATAAATTTCTGTACGGTAGTATTTGTGGTAGAATATTATATATATATAAAATACGATGTGATTATGGATGTGTTGTGATAATGTTATTATAACTTTGGCTGTGCATGCGGTTCTCCTGGCCCTCGCCAGCCTCATTACCCCAATATATGTCAGGTTAGTAGCGTTAGTTAGCTTGCGCTGCTGTATTTTGTGCGTCAATGTGATTGATTAATCCTGATTGATAATTAATCTTTCATAATATATAAATTTCAGATAAATATATACTATTGTGCTATTGTGAGAAAAGATATTCTGTATTACATATAGCATGAAAAAATATTTTCAAGTTTTATCCTTTAATTATTCTATTTCAATTGATCTGTTTATTTTTTATATAACAAATAATGTCAATTGTGATTGCATTTCTATAAATTTTGGTATTTAGTTTATATTTTTGTATTTAATTACATATTACTTAATATTATATCATTTATACTATGTAATTGGGATTAAATGATTAAGAATTGAAAAGGGCTATTTGTTCCTTTTTATATTTGTCTGTAAATAATGTATATATTAATATTTCAGGAGCAACGCACATCTCAGCTTCCTCTGGAGCTGGATCAAATCACAGATGACTCCGCTCCTACGCGTCCTGATGCCGATGTTAAGAGTGAGTATTATAATCATACTTAATGTATATATGACATTGTAAGATGTACTGATTCCTTCATTTTTTAGTTACCGAAAAAGAAAATCTTGTGACATTACCTCCGTCCGTAAAGAAAGAGGAAAGTCACAAACGTGAAATCAATCGGGATGGTGAGAAAGAGGATAAAAATAAGAGATTACGTAAGGCTGAATCTAAGGAGAATATTCAGCCTTCTGCGGAAAAGAAGCAGGTATTTGATATAATTCAATAGTTTATCAATTAATAGCTTATCATCATGTTGGTTCTGCGTGTAGAGAATAATATCTATTTTTATACTATATAGAGAGCAATATATGTTTTTGTACTATATATTTTTTTTCAACCGGATATCCTGAATTAGAACTGAGAATCATTGTTATATATGTATTTTAACGTATTATTTGCGCAGGCACCTAAACCACCGAGCGAGACAAGTGAGCGTAGATTATCTCGAGATAAAGGGCCAGCGCCCCCGCCACCGCCCATGCGTCAAGATAGCGAGGAGAAAAAGAAGAAAGAAGAAGAAAAAGAGAATATGACGAATTCAACGGATAAACAGAGATTTGTGGAGGACAAACCACAAATTAATAAACTTTCTCAAAATGAAAAAACGGCGAATCAGCAGGTAACAAATATTAAAGAGCAGAAAAACTTAGAGATCGAAAATCAGGTGCGAAATGAATTGGACAGTTCTGAAAACATAAAGAGAACAGAAAGTGAAGACAACGCTAAATTATTTGATAATATAAAAAGATTCGAGAGTCAGCAAAAGTTAATAAACAAATCAAATCCCGCTGCGAAGAAGCAATTGGGAGTAAATGAGAAGCGCAAATCGGCACCCGTGAAGCCAGAGATGATTGAAGATTTGTCGAAGATAATATACAAGCAGTCATCTTTAGAGAATAAGGATGGGTACGTATTTCTTATTTATCTTTTTATTAATAAGTGCTTAAACTTGACCATTAAATTGGAAATATGCCCAAAAGATTTTATCAAAAAATAATATTTTAATTTAGAACGAGAAATAAACTGTTATCCGTTGACGACGTAACAAATTACGAATTGCAATCTCGAGATAAGGAAGATTACAGAAGTTTGGAGGAGAAGCGGAAATCCGTCGGAGAGAAATTGAATGCCGTATTGGAGAAACGATTGTCCATGGATTCTGCGAAGAAAATAAGCGATGGTTCGATGGAAACGCTCAAACACATATCCCTCGCGTCGACGTATCTGTCGGAGAAGAGTAATGTTAAAGCTAGTTCGACGGAAGATATTAAGACGCAGTCGGGTGTAACAAAGACTGAGAGTCCCGCTAAGAGTCGCAGTGTGGGATCATCCAGGAACGATTCCCTGGAAAGCTTCTCGGATGAGTTACATGTTAAAGCAGATAGCGCCAAAATGGAGGACATAATGAGCGACGACAAGAACTTGGAAAAGCAGGATTCGGGAATTAATGTATCGGTGATTACATCAACGCCGATCAGAAGTAGGAACAGTTCGAGAAGAAGCAGCGGGGATAACATAGTCGTTATTACTGGTAAAAAGTTTGATATTCTATTATTAGGTTGGTGTAAAGGTTTTAAATCAGACATATAAAAATCTTGTTTTCAAATTAAGAAAAAGTATTGAAGTCAATAGTGATTATTTAATTATAATAATTTATTTAAAATCCTGTTTAATCTTTTCTTTAATCTTACTTTGATGAATACGACGAACCTTTTGCGCGAATCTAATCTCAAATGCACATATTTGTTCCCGTATTTTTTTACATCACGCATCACATTACAGGAAAAGCTCAACCGGAACAAGAAGTACGCTTAAACACATCGACCGTTCGTATTACTGCCGACTCGCCGGACATGTCAAACAGTCTGGCGAGTAACATTAGTCAGGTGACCGTTGTGACGACGCATCCGCCTGTGCTGGTGGACGCGCCCCCAGCATCAGCTACAATGATGACGGCGCCCTTCCCACGTCGTACTTCACCGACGTCGGAAGTCGTTATCGTCGCCAATGAGATGAACAAGACTCAAGTGAATGACAATTCTATTGACGACGATACGTTTCCTAGTCTGGATAGTCTGGAGTACACGCCGCAGGAACAGCCTATTGTACTCACCGAAGTGTCCAAGAGGATCGGCAAGAAATTGGACGAGTCGGAAGTGGTTATAGTAAGTCCGATCGTGGACGAGCTGCAGGACACCAGTCATGTCTCAGTGGTCACGGTCGGAGATGACAAGGAGCAGGTGAAGGACTCGTCGATATCCAAGAAGCACAACGTTATACGTACCGGCTCGTCTCACAGCGATCTGAGCTCGAACGAGAGATCGAGTCTGAGAAGTGACAGCGGGGACGAGAGCGGTAAAGTAATAGTCGCCAGCACGACCATCGAGTCTTCAGATATGGACGATTACGAGAGGGAAGGACGAAATGCAAAGAAGATGAACGGGTTGATCAAGAATGAGTTGCCGCATCACGTCGACGATAAAATTGTGAAGACGGTCAAGCCGAAAGAAGTGAATGTTAAAGGCTTTGGGAAGGAGAAGCGGGTTTCCCCGGATAGCTTCGAGGGCTCCAGGTCCCAGAGCGATTCCAGTTCCATAAGATCGCACACGCCAAGCAAGAGTATCGATCGCTCCGACGCCGAATCCATCTCGACCACGATCAGCCAGGACAGCAGAGAATCAAACAAAGAGAATCGTCTGAACCAAACCCAGCATGCGGAAGTTGATGAGGAGGTCGTGTTGCGCCGGAAACCGGATTACAATCGTGAGGTATCCCGGCCGACCAGGACAAAGGAGGACATACAAATGATGAATCTGAAAAAGAAGACGAGGAAACGCACGAGAAAATTCGAGATTGACGGCGTTGTGATGACGACAACGACTTCGAAGGTGATATACGGCGACGATGAGAACGGCAAGGTGTACGACGATCAGATATTCCGGAAGCAGGAGCTGCGGGAGTTGAAGATGCTGCAGAAGATGGAGCAGAAGCAATTCCAGGATCTGGCGCAGAAGGCTCAGTTCAACAAGGATCAGCAGGAGAAGCGATTCGAGCAGGAACGGCAACTCTACGAACGCAATGCTGAGGCGGAGCTGGAAGCGCTCGCCAGACACCAGAGACAGCAGATTGAGCGCGCCGAGGCGCAGCAGGAGGTCGACCTGCGACTGGCGTCCAAGAAGATCCGCAGTGAGCAGGAGAGGGAACTCAAGCTATTCCGGGAGGGCCTGAAACAAGAATTGAGGTTGCTCAAACAGGAGATAGATTTGATGCCAAAGGACAAGCGAAAGAGCGCGTTTAAAATACGGAAGGAGAAGCTCGAAGCGGAGCACGAGGAGCGGGAGAAGCTCTTCTTGGAGAAGCTCAACGAGAGTCACGAGATTTCGCTGAGGCGACTATCGGATGGCCATCGTGAGAAAATCGCGTTGATGGAAAGACAATTCTTGCAGCAGAAGCAGCAGCTGATGCGCGCCAGGGAGTCGCATATCTGGGAACAGGAGGAGCGGCAGATACACGAGCGGCAGCAGCTGCTCAAGAAACAACTCAAGGATATATTCTTCCTGCAGAGACACCAGATGCTCATACGACACGAGAAGGAGCTGGAACAGATGAAGAGAATGAATCAGAGGAAGGAGGAGGAATTGATCAAGCGGCAGACGGTGGAACGTAGAAATCTGCCGAAGAGAATTCGCAACGAGATGAAGGCGCGCGAGATGATGTTTCGGGAATCGATGAGGATCTCGATGTCGTCCGTGCTCGCGCCGGATCCGGACGCCGAGCGTGAGAAGCTGAAGAAGTTCCAAGAGAACGAGAAGAAGAGATACAGAGCGGAACAACAGAGATTCGAATTGAAGCATTCCAGACAGCTCGAGGAGGTGAGAGCTCAGAGCGACGCCACAATCAAGGAATTGGAGCAATTGCAGAATGAAAAGAGGAAAATGCTGATGGAGCATGAGACGCTGAAATTGAAGGAACAGGAGGAGGCTTACGGCAAGGAGATTCGCGAGTGGAAGGCGCAACTGAAACCCCGAAAGCAGGTAAATATGCATGCAAAGTTTGAATGGTTGAATCGAGTTGATTTTAAAATCACGTTTTATCGATGTTTTATGAATGTTAAAATTAATCTCTGGCAGTGGCCTGATAGTGAATACTTTTTTTCATTTTCTATCAGTTTAGCGATGTGCTTTACTTTGAAAAAATTATGTTTTTATTTTACGCATCTGCAACAGTGTGAGAATCTAGTTCAATCCGTGGGTCAGCGCAAATCGACGCAAAGTCGTAATGCGGGACCGGGATATGGACGCAAAGTCGATTATTATACCGTTGATTATTTCAACAATTGTAATGAAATATGTCCGCTTCTGCATCCAGCTGGCGTCGCTTTGCGCAGAGCTTAATCTGCATGACTAATCATTATATTAATAAAATAAAGTTGCTGTAAAACAAGATAAAAAAAAAACGGCGAGAAAATGCAAGAGAAAAAGAAATACGACTCTATAATCGAAATACTTAAGTACACAACGTGTCGAGTGAAATCGTAACACAAGTCTGAAATAAGTCTTGATGTACCTGTTATAGAAGATAGAAGCCGATCTGGCAGCTGATATGGAAGCCTTGGAAAAGCGCTATCAAGACTATTTGCCTTCTTCTGGTCTTAGTGGTCTCTCTTTTCCCCTTTTCGATTACACTAAAAACGCAATATTTGACACTTGGAGAGGATCTTCACGCTTACCACGCTCCACTCCCACCTCTCCGTCTTTCACAATACCTAGAGTGTCGTTAAAAATTTGTAATTCGGACTCGGGCACTTTCGTATCGAACGGCATGCTCTCACGAAGTTACTCCAAGCCAGATTTAATGCCGCCTTCCCGTAGATATTAGCTAAATCATTCTGTTATTTGTAACATTTTGTTCAATTGTCACATATATAGAAGTTTCACCCAAAGTATGTGTGCACATTCCATTTTCATGTTTTTTTTTTAAATATACAAGTTAACGTATGCGCATATATGCATTTCTAAATATAAATATTTTAGAAATATACATGTATTTATATCAAAGGGAATATATATATATTTCCAAATCTTTCTAACTTCTACGAATATTAAACTTTATTTTCATATGCGTATCGTATGGATATATTCACATGAATGTGTATACATATATTCCTTATTTGAAAAAATTGTAGAAGAGCAAAGGGACAATTTCTAAGTCCTCTAAAATTTTGAAACACGTTATAATTTACTGGGATTTTTTGTACCGTTTCTTTTGTGAACATATGTAAAACTTTCCTACTTATTTAACACTTCTGATCATGAATAACCACTAATAATCTTCTTTGCTTTACTCACTGGTGCTTTAGTGCTAATGCAATAATGTTTGGCTTGTGTATTGATGTATTATGTAGTTATTTAGAGATAACTTAGAAAGATAATACATAATTTTAGTTTTTGTATAAAAATTAGTGGGACATGTAGCGGATGAAATCATATTGTGTAATACGACAGATTAATTTATTTCTCATGAATCATGATTTCAAGATTACGAAAAAATACACACAGATCAGATAAGATTCTCATTAATTGAGATCTATATAAAGTTTAGTTTGTGCAGATCTACATATACATATATGTATGTCAATTAATGTCTCCGCCGTGCTTCTCTCATTTTTATTGAATATTTTTCGATCAATTTGTGGTTGAAAAAAAAAGAAAAAAGTGCGAAGAAGCTATATTAATTAATTAATTTGGATCTAAAATCTATTAAGAAATGTAGAATTAAGTTAAGAGTATTAATGAGGAATATTTATTAGAAGAGACGAAATAATATAGCTAAAAGGAATAATTTGTGCTACATACTTATTCTTAGGATTATATGTTGGAATTTCATCATGCAACATATTGTAGTTTTGTCCATGTATTTCGATGTAATTGTATCATAAACTATGTTGCTTCATTATGAGCTTGAGCGTTAAATATGAAAATAACAGGGTAAGTGTGGTTACCGCGGGCTATGTGTCAAAGTTAGCAAAGTAACGTGTACTGAGCGGTTTCCTTAAAGGTTTCCCATACCTGTGGTTGTTTAATAAGGTATACACTAGTTCATAATACAGTCCTCACTTAAATGTGACCTCAGAAAAACCCTGATAGATCTAAAAAGAGATTCCACAAATTGGATTTCAAAGCTATGTGCAAAGTAGCCACAAGGTTAGTCTATAATATCGTTGTAAAAGATCATTGAGCTATGTTTCAGATACATCTGCAGACATTCTGTAAATATTAATATAAGATAGTTGATTCTGTACGCATTCCCTCTTAGATTTAAATACTTGCTATCATATTGCTAATTCAGTCGCACGAGATTATCATTTACATTCTGTGTGCACGAAAACAGATTTTCTAATATTTTTTTCTACCATTACAGAAGCTTGAGGAGCAATTCGCGTTGCAACTGGAGGAGCAAGAGGCGATTTATGGCCCCAGTGCGATACCATTATGCTTGCCAGCTGATCTTCTCGACTTGGCGCACCATACGACTGAATCTACGCGTAGTTCGTTGTCTTCTGTAAGCGAGGGCTAAAGCGACGTTCGAGAATACGAGAGAATACGTATATAATTTGCGTAATTTTGTATCTAACTGTCTTGAACTGAAATGCGTGGGTTACATAATTGGTATGCTTGTATACCAATTGTCTTTATGACTTGTACATATATATATCGCGGTAACTCATTCAGGAACTGAATAATTTCTACCTAGGCGCGGCAGTTTGTATGATGAGTAATAGAGTCACCGAGAACAATGGCGATAATGTGTTTCGAAATTTTTACACATAACGTTTGAATGAAATCAATAACATAGTAACGCTAATTAAAATACTATTTGATCACCGGATTGAGCGCTAATCTTTCGTAACGATATACAGCTTTCGAATTTAAATATAAACAGTGCAAATTATTACTCTGAAAGCCAGTTTATAATTTGATACTAGAAATATTTGGTATAAACTCTATCTGTATAGATTGTTATATAATTTATATACTACAATATAACGATACATTGATACACTTAAATTAATCCGCCCATGCCTAATCTTGAAGTCTTATTGCATTGTGAAAGACACTAATACTCCGCTAGGTATCGAGCATATCTTTTGTATGCATTGTATACCATATAAAGGAATAATTTCGTTAATGCCCATTTAATCAATAACTTGAAATAAGAAAGGATAATCTATCGACCACTGTTGTGTATGTACGTATGTTTATAGAGAATTTGTAATAATTTTACAGTTATATACAATTCACAGGCACGAATGTATATTTTTTACATTTAAAAAAATTATACTAATTAATCCAATTCATGATCGAGTGCTGTTGGAGCGTTTCGGAAATTTGTAATATTCGTTATATGTAATTATATGTAGCGGTAGTGGTAGACGGCAAGTAATATAGATCGTTAGATTTGTTTTAAACAATCACGATTTTGAGGTATCATATACATAGAAAACGTTGGATGTACATGGTAAAGTTCATGTAATAATGTTAAGCTGTAGTCACCATGTTCGGTTATAGTTACGTTATTTATAACAAAAGTTTATGGTAGTAACGCGAGTATTCTACTTCAGACGAATATTTTAGTAAATATCTGTAAACTAGAATTGCTTTGTTCCTCGGATGATTATTTTTTCTCAATAAGGAAACTATATTTCAAATTTTACTGCAAAAAATATACGTCTATATTTTGATTTATAATTAACCAAGGCGTACACATGCATATTTTGTAAATAATATGTTTTGTCTGCATAATCAAAATAAGAATCAAAATTCTTCATGCATTGTTACAAAATGAACGACACTCCTTATGTAGAAGATCTAATATATATCATTATATAGCGAGAGAGGGACAAAGTAATCTGGTTTTACATTGCACTAAAAATCAAAGGATAACACCAAATATACATACACTGTACGTTTGCATGGTTGTGTAGCCTGATGACATTCTAGAGAATCTCTCTCATAATGCATACTTAAAACGAGCATGCGTGGCTAATGCAAGCTGTAAAGAGTACTTGTAAAAAATATTTTTTTTTATTTGTAAATTAATTCTCGTTACGATGTTGATTAGTTTTGTATATGTACAGAATGTCTCAGATTTGTCAAAAGTCTTTTCGCTCAACAAATTCTTTAATTGTCTTATAATGATGTTAAAGTATATTTTTTCTTAAAAGAAAAATATTTTAAAGAAATTTCAAGAAGATTCTGAATTCATCTGATCGACAATTAGACTGTGTGACTGAAAAGAAATGCGACAATATGCATTCTACATATATATAGTTATATGAGGACTTTCATGTACATAGAATTCTGAAGAACCGATTAAATATTAAGAAGCTGTAATCTAGTATAAATATTATCATGTTGCAATGATTTTTATTGAGCAGATTTTTTTCCTTCAATAAATACCGTGTATATCTCTTTTCACATCGCGAGATTGATTCCGTAGAATATTTATATGTTATTCTTTCTACATCACCAAGTATGAATTTAAATTATTCATTATGTTAACTTGCTCTTGTAATAATATGTTAAAAATATATAAATTTCAAAAGTTTACGCTTTTATTAAATAATTACAAGCACTATACGTATTTCATTTTATTATATTGTAATTAAATTTTTTGTATATAATAACATATCTTTACATAATTATATGTTCCACCTTTTAGAATATTCAGATTAATTAGCTGTTTACAATAAAATGTTTCTTGGCGATAATTTTGTCGTGCAAATGCGATATTGCCTTAAAATATAAATAATGTCTGGTAAAACGTTCTATAAATGGCTGTATGGCGCTGCCAGAGCCATCTTCATTTTTTCCCCAAATAAAAAAAAACGTTCTATAAATGTATTTCGCCCATAGACATAAGAATAAGGAGACGGAGTGTAAGCCGCGGAGGGGTGAAGCCGCTTTCGGGGAGCGGGGACTACGGTCACATGGTACTTTGGTGCCACATTTATGCTACAACTAATGCCAATGTGGTACCAAAATTCACGTGACTGCTATTCCCCGCACCGCGGAACTGGCTTCACTCCCCTCGCCTAAAGTAAGATTTTATGCTCTGTCTCCTTATTCCTATGTCTATGATTTCGCCAGAGAGAAACTTGAGGGGGGCCACGCTGCCGTTTTTCGTAAGATGCTTTTTCTAGGCTGTACACTAGCGGCGCGTACATCCATTTTACAGCCTGCCTGGAACTACATGGCCACATCTATTTTCCGGGATGGTAAAAGAGCCCTGGTTGGTTCATGTCCATGTTACATCCACAATTTATTGAACAGAAATACGTCTCGCATATAGATGTAAATTATATCTATATGTTATAAATTGTATCTATATAAAT